AGGATTGCTGAGCCTTTCGAGTGGCGAAAATAGCAACACCTGTTCCAGTGGGCTTAGGGGCAAGGCTACAGGCAGTTTCCTGTCTCAGAGACATACTACAGATGTAAGCTAGTGATCGTATGCCCCGGAGATTAGCAGAGGGACTCCAACCCCGCTGGAATCGATAGTCTTTGCCTCCGTTTTTGGACTCTGCAACTTCACGATAGCGAATCTCCAACCTCACACGTGGCGCCTGATTCGACGGCTCATTCCATCGCTCGGTAAGACCCGGGCGATCAGTAGATCCCGTTCTCGTGACGACTTGCGGCTATCGCGACATAGTAATCAAAGGAGATCACTGGTGGTTAGTTTTAATGAGAGCTATACGATGCCGAGGCTGGGAATAATCAGACCGGGAGACAAGAGAAGCGATTTACACATGATAACCTTGCAGCAGGGAAGTCTGAGTGCGGAACTTGATGGAAGTCCCGCGGGCCAGTCTGAGACTGACGATGCGTGGAGAAGCGGCGGAACAGCTGAACCAGGCATTGGCGGTGTTTGAACGCATGATACTCCCTGCGAGCGCGGATTGTCTTCGGCGATGTCGAAGTGTGGTGGCAAGAGCGCAAGCCTGCAAGCATAGGTTTCCAGCTGGGTACCGGAGGATCGGAGTGAGTCTCGCTTGAACTGAGCCTCGAAACCAGGGAAGCTCTGCCGAGCTGAAGCTTCTCACTAACCATGCTTTCTCAGCGGTTTCAACAGCTGCTAACGTGATTCCAGTTCTTCCAGAGCGTAGACTAGCTGTCAAGATTGTGTTGAGCAACCGTTAACACCACCAAGTGTCAGACCCCGTTGTCGATGCCGGTGGCGTCGTCTAGGATGCACCACATCGTTCAGTGTGGAAAGTTTACAAGACCCTAGAGACGCATCTATCGCCATCTCCAGTATTTTGCCCGCAGTGTCGCCGTGATGGCTAGGCGTTCTTTTTGACGAGCCTGCATAGACGGCCCGTAGCCTCGAACCAACATTTTCCGGTGGCAAAGCACTATCTGGTGCATGAATGTGCTGTCTGCTTGTGATTATCCTCAAGGTGTTCATGGTCAGTGTAGCTTCAGTCGCCATACATTTCGTTCATCTGGCGAACACAAGGTAAGTGGTGAAGGTTAGTTCGTGCTGAATGTTCGCGTGCCATTTCGTACAAAATCGGTAGTTCATGCTCATACAATTCGAATTGAAGACATTCGCCTTGATGGTTAATGTGAGTGCAGACAGGAAGTGCAAACAGTGTTTGTGAGGCGTCTTCTGCTTTTGTCGCTAGCGGTTCTTGGCAAACTCCAACGGCAGCCGCGAGCCTCAAGCTGACCTCTCAGCGCGACGGTGCACACGCGAAGGCACCAGCATCGATGGTTCCTTCATTCACGGCGGGGGCCAATGTACCTTTTCGCGCCATTGCAGCTCTCTCGGACGCATCTGTCAACCTAAGAACACTTTCGCGGCTTACACAGCGTCGACAAACGCTGTGTTCAGTCTCCTCACGTGCCTCTTGTACCTGGACTCGCGATGACGTCAAAGCAAGCCGACATCCCTTAGTATACAAACCCTACAGGCAATGTGGTATTCGGCCCGCTAGTCTGTTCAGTACATCAACCACGCGAAGACTGAAACTTGAAGATGAAGTACCGAATTCTTCGGCTTCAAGGAGCAGCACTGAGGTAAGCGCGCACTTTTTTTCTCCAACAACAGCTTATGTTCCACTTATGTTCGAAGATGATATGTCGCCTCCCAAATCCGATGTGTATTTCGAACTTACATATGTCCATTCTATTCGGAAATGATGGATCACAAGGGTTTCCTTAATTCGACGTTTTCGTTTGTTTCATTTGAAATACTAGATTGAATTATAGACAGAGAACACCAGGTTGCCTTACCGGAACTTATGGCTGATTGTATACAGCACCCTTCGCCCGCCTCAACTTCCGCCAAACTCGCTTCGACCCTAAAATCCACCCTCAAACTCGACAAACCGCGCCACGAGCAGATTTGGAACATCCCCAACATTCTTACGTTTTCGCGTCTTGTCGCAACTCCTGTTGTTGGATATCTAATCATACACAACCACCATCTATACGCCTTCACTCTCTTCACCTATGCCGCTTTCTCCGATCTTCTCGATGGTTGGATTGCCCGGCGTTGGAATCTCCAAACTGTTATTGGAAGTGTCGTTGACCCCATGGCCGACAAATTCTTGATGACAACTCTGGTAACGTGTTTGGCAGTGAACGGTAGTCTGCCGATGCCACTAGCCGCACTAATTCTAGGAAGAGATGTCAGTCTGGCGCTCAGTGCATTCTACTATCGGTATGCCAGTCTGCCGGCGCCCAAGACGATGGCGAGATACTGGGATTTCAGCTTGCCGAGTGCGGAGGTACATCCCACTACCATCTCCAAGTTCAACACATTCCTGCAGTTGAGTCTGCTGGGCACGCTGCTTTGCACCAATTTGCTGCACGACCCTTCCGCCACCACATCTGCAGCGGGGGGTTTGCTCATGTCGATCCAAGATGCGCTAGGAGGTGAAGAAGGAGTTAAGACGATGATCCAGGGAATTTCGGCTGTCGTCGCTAGTACGACACTGTACAGCGGCCTCGAGTATACATGGTCAAAGAAAGCAGTGGTTATCTTGGGCGGAGATGAGGCCTTGAAAAGGAAGCAAGGTTTCCGTGGTAGAATGATCATGGCAGGTGGATACGGTTCTTTCATTGCGCTTGCAGCATATCTGTGGTTCAACGGCGAGGCTGAAGAGGACCTGAAGAAGGAAGCCAACAAAAAACTGGGTAGCAAAAGTGCATGATTGATGTTATAACAGTATTGTTATATCGTCCTGGATAGCAGGTATTGACAGTGGACATCGAATGTGTCGACACAGAAAGAAAAAATACGTGGAATATACTCTACGTTCCCCGAATATCAATTGTCCTTCGCTTTGCAATCATCTCCTTGTGGTTACCCTCTCCATTATTAACCTATTCGTTCTGTAGCTCGTACCTAGATTTTCAGTGTCTCGAAGGGTGAGCATAGCGCGTGGTTTTATTACGATAGTTTACATTACGCTCGTAGACATGCTGGTGCAAATTACCATAATTTTGCATTCAAACAGCCGATCCAACCAACAAGCCACAATACAATCAAGCCATAATACAATCAAGCCATAATACAATCAAGCCATAATACAATCAAGCCATAATACAATCAAGCCATAATACAATCAAGCCATAGTCAACTTCAGCGAACTTGACTGTAACTTGTTTGCCAGCCAAATCTTACTGATTTGAATCTTCCCATGTACGAACTGCACGTGCGACATACACTAAGTTCGTACATCGATATGAAGTGAATCAAAATGAGTCATTCTGGATCATCTCTAACAATCATAGGTCGTTCATGAGCCAACATTTAAGCCATGACGACCTTCGCATGAGCAAATCCTCAGTTCTATCCCATCTCGCTCTACAACATGGACAAGGATGGGTCATTCCTGTGACGGAAGTCTGTCATGATTGACCCGGAGTCGCTCGTCTATCGCCCTGCATGACACCGCTTGTTCTGAATATTCCTTGAACGACAAGCAAGTGTAAGTTTCTAGCCATTCTCTACACAAAATTTTATTCCTGATGATGAAACGGTTATCACTCGCCGTTCCTACTCTACATGAGGATATACCATGGCATGGTTTCGCCTATCTGATCACAGGCAATTTGAAACTATCTCAAAGCTCAGACGTTTGACGAACGGTTACTAACTCGCTTATAGCAATTTTCCAGTGGAGCTTTTCGCTTTATCCACATGGGCGATTGTGCTTGACGGCCAGAGATGACAGTCAGAGTTTACTCATAACTTCCAAAGCCTCCACTAGCAAATCTCTTTAGTTGTCTATAAAACCTCGAACCCTGCGCTAGTCGGTGCACCTGCATTGCAGATATGGAAATCCATCGGGCAAGCGCTCATTATGATAACGCATTCTTGTTCTGCCTTCAAGACGACGTAACTGCCTGGCTTGCCCGCTGGATCTTCGCAAGGTATCTTGTTGTCCGCGACAAGAACACTCATGAACAGGTTCAAAGGATCAGGTATCCAGCCATACTCCAACAGCTCCCCTAGCTTCTGAATCGAAGGGTTTTGGTATGTATCAACTACCTTCCGCAGATTCTGCGCGCAATTGTCGTGGTTCGCTGGAGCGCCGAGTTGGATGTACCGCTCAGGAGAGCAGGCGGAGTAGAGTACGTCGTGATGTCCGGGAGAAGTGTCTTCGGTGATTGTCAGGATGGGGTTGCGGTGATTGTCCAAGTACGACTCTCCGACTGCAAGCTCCAGCTTATGGTGGGTGGATCGCGTGTGCGACATCGACATATAAGAAGGGAAGCCTGAGGTTGGAACAAAGGCCCAGGTGTCGATGACTTGACCTCCACTTGTGTTGATGATCTTGATGGACTGACCAGCGCGTAAATGCTGTATGGCGCTAGACCGGGCGGGAATGGTGGGCATGATGCTTAAGGAATCGTTGGGTATAAAAACAGGTTGAGGCTGATAGCGAAGTGACTGTATTGAGCCACTTTAAGGCTTAAATACTGTTTGATCTGCTCACTGGAGACTCAAGCGCTTCCTACGATCCGTTCGAGCCAAGACGCTAGATCGCGTCACAGGGCGTGGGGCGCAGGACGTGAGTATGTTGACGATGAGCAATTTTCATGTGCGGGACCGCGACACCTAGCTTAGTTCCATCTGTCTGAGACTGTCATTTGTTACGTTGCATTCGCCTGGAGCTGATTGAAGTTCGGATGTAGTCTTATGGATCACAAGGCGTATTGATCGGAAACGCTTGACGCTGCTCCATGAGTTGTTGCGACGCCTCGCTTTTTTCCCCAATAAACGACAGTTCATCAGAGACGAGGATTTGTGTGTTAAGAGAAAGTTTTCCCTACCACAATAGGTAGAGGAAAGAGGTTCCACTCTTCGAGACCTGCGATCCGATCACAAGCGACATTGAATCGCAGCACGGCTCCTCTCCTTTCCTTGCATGCCCAGATACATTCCCCACATTCTCCTCTCACACCTGACTGTAGTGCTCCAAAGGCGCTACAGCTTCAAAGCCCCATGGTCCCAGTGGAATCTTCAGTACCGATGATACCAACATCTTTCTTAAACCGCCACAGCCATTCAGGGTGGTCCGCAGCAGTTTGGTTCCACGGATCATCAGATTCATATATGATCCAGCGTGCGTGATGCTGAATCTCCGCATCAGATGGGACATGGCAGCCTGGGTTGGATGGGGACATGGTGGCGAGGACCCAGCGCCTAAGGTCGTTGGCAAAGAGGCGGTAGAAGTTCGTGCCCATGGCCATGTGGCTTCTTGAGTGATTATTGGGCAGACCAAGGGTGGGCGCAAGCGGAGATGGACCATGAGCTGTCGTGTGGAAAGGGTCCTCGAGGATTCCGGCAATGGACGAGGGTTCCATGGGAAAGGGAGCAAGCAGCCCTTGGTCATCGACTGGCTGGGCTGGAAAAGCTGCGGATGGGTTCTGATTGTCAGAAGGTAAGCTGGTGCGTAGCTTGAAAGCTGACAGCCAAACGTTGTTTAATCCGATCGCGTGGATAAGCCAGCCTGCGAAGCCTTCTAGGGTAGCATTGGGAGCATCCTCGATACGGCGGATGATCTCGCAAGCCTCTTGCTGGAGTGTCCAGTCCGGCAGATCAACGGATGCGTCAGCTTTTGCTTGTACGAAAGCGCGAAGCTGAGTCTCTAGTGGACATCGCTCGAAAAGGTGATTACGGCCGCAGATTCATAATGTTGAAATACCCTCGGAAGGGGTACGTAGTGGCCCAAAAAGAGCTTCCGTGGCGATATCTGGGTTCGACATAATGATGTCGCGAAGCCAAGACTCTCCATCATCTCGCTGCGATGTCGAAGGCCCGGCATCTGACAGCGCATTTGATGCGAATATGATACGGCATGCTTCTAGCTGAAGAGTACGAGCGTCCGGCGGTATCCCATGTAGATCGAGATAGTTCTGTCGAAAAAAGTTGACCTCAAGCTTAAGGAGCTCGTACGCGCTGACAGACGTGGCGGTTGGCGTGTCACATGCGCGCAAAGGCCAAGGCGTCATCTTCTCAAGATGAATGAAGTCTACTCTGAAGGTCAGATTAACTGTTTTTTGTATATATAACTTACTGAATTGGTCGAACACGTATATGGCGGCACGCCATCTTCCACACGCTGCAATATATGATCCTCGAACCCCCAATCACCTTGCCATTGCGCCATTGTTGCACCCGCCTTGAAGTGCTCTCCTAAGTGATTCACTCGCTCCGTCCAAGTATGCATAACTAGGCTGCAGAACCCACACCTCGATTGTATATCCAGCGTAGAGGTCTTCCATCGATCTAGTGGGACATATGTAGTGTCAACTTTGTGAACAAGCCTTAGGTGTTGTACGAGGTGGTCTTTGCGATAGAAACTGCGTTCGTTTCATTTCGTGCTTGACAAGCAGAGTACTGATGTTCGTCGAGATGTGTATCGTCAGGAGATAGTTTATCGCAGAAAGTACAGAATTGGTCTTCTTGCCTGGCCGATACCGGGATTCTTGGACCCTCTGGTGCACATATCCATTGCTCTAACGAGAGATGCAGGGCCTTTTCATGACGTTGCCAGTCGTACTTTGTCTTGAACGTCTCGACGCAAAAGGTGCATTGGAATGGTAAATCGGGCGCAGCAAAGGCTCTTTTGGAGCGGTCGTTTTTCTTCAGCCCCCGCTTGCGCGATCGTCGAATCGGCCCATTGGACGTTTAAGGTCCAGATGAGTTGCAATCCGACCGCGCATTAGAGTAGGATGTGCTGGCACTGCTTGCAGAAGACGATGGGTACAGCGTTTCTGAATTATCGTGCTCACCTTCGAGGTCGGGTCAGCTTGATTGCGTGCATGCTTTCACTGGAGACATACTATTGGAGCAATCTGAACCCGTAGTTACAGCGCGGAAAATATCACCAAACAATGCAGCCTCATTTTCTGGTGGCGATTCAACCCATCGTTGCAAAGGATCTTTATGCTCAAGTCCAAGCTGCACTGCAGGTGTACCAGGTCTCGCGATGATGTCAATTGGGCTTGTCTGAGTGTCGTGGACTTGCAGAGGTTTTGATCCAGAGTCACGAGAAAGGCCTCGGCGACGAGCGTTCGAGAACCAGGTCGTGATCTGCTTGTGTTCTAGCCCGGTGTGCTGCTGCAAAAACTGCAAGTCGTTGTGACGAGGATAGGGTTTGTTCTCATGGGTGATGAACCAGGTTTTCAGAATGCGAATTGCTTCCTTATTAATACGCGCACCTTTCATTGAAGGCGTGGCACGATTGGTCGCAGGGTCGGTTGAGAGGGACGCATAGCGCGTGCTAGGATGACTGTGTAGGTTCTGGCTGGGGAGTTCAAAGTCTGATGGCGCTGCTGCTGGATTATCCAGTAGCAATGCGGATGGTGCGATGAAGCCAAAGTCCTCAGAAAACTCGTTTTCGGTGAGGCTGGCCATCGCTGATATAGGAGCCGGACATACAGAATGAAGTGTGTAGAAGAAGGCAGGCAGGCAGAGTCGGCGCCCTTGTCGCCTCATCAGCGCTAGAGCGTAAAGGGTACCATGTCCGTGCACTCCGTCTCGATGGGGTCGTCAAAGTGAATCATGCAGTATGATAAATTTTTCTCGTAAATATTCGTAAGTATTGATGGTGTTAACAATGATAATATACAATACATGGTACTATACTACACATCATCCTGTCCATCTTCCACTCTACCTCAACACAGCCTTCCCCTCATACGTCTCCACTGCCTTACTAAACAACTCCTTACACGGAACCCTCGACCCCAGTCTCGCACAAAGTAAGAACGCGCCCGAAAGTTTTCGATGCAACGAATATGTCTCTTCTGGCGGCGGCGCAAGCCTTTCCTTGACCATGACTGGAATCAAACCACGCACTCTGTCCGTAATAGTTTGATCTCTGAAATCGTATATCTCAGGTCCACTGCCACTGAACGGCTCAGCAAGCGTGAGAACACTCTGGATATGAGCGTCGAGCATAGCGGGGCTCTCGCTACCGGTAAGGTAACCGAGTTCGAGGGAGAGGTCACGGATGGAGTCGCGGTCGCCTTTAGAGGCTGCGATGAGGACTTTAATGTAGGGCTCAACAAATTTGTCTGGGTAGTCTCGTGAAGCGCCGAAATCTAATAGCTCGATTTTCTGGGCGGAAGCGTTGTAGAGGAAGTTTGTCCAGTTTGGATCTGTCTGCATGAACTTGAACTCTACAATCTCACGTAGACAGAGACGTAGGATTTGGGTGCCGATCCAGTCGCGTTGCTCTTGAGTAAGAGTTTTGAGCTTAGTGACGCCGACGCCGCGCATCAGCTCTGCGGTCAGCACGGTAGGACCACAGGCTTCGGGGAAAACCTTGGGAACAGTGAAGACGTCTGTGTCATCTTGGAGGAGGTCGCGGAAACGAGTTTGGCATTCAGCCTCGCGTGTGTAGTCGCACTCCCAACCTAGTTCTGTACGAGCGTTGGCAATGGTCTTGTCTAGGTATAGACCCTTTGGTAGAAGACGAGATGCTGTCAGCAGGAGGGATAGATTGCTAAGGTCAGAGTCGATGGAGTTGGCAACGCCAGGGTACTGAATCTTGACAGCAACTGCCTGGCCGTTGGACTTGAGTACTGCTTTGTGTACCTGCCCAATCGAAGCGGCTGCGATAGGCACATCTTCGATGGATTCGAAAAGGTCACGCCAGTTTTCCCCAAGGTTGCTGCTCAGAACTTTGTTCCGTTGTGAGGCCGGCATGTAGTCTGCGCTATCCTGCACTCGCTGCAGTACGTCGTGGATCTCAGGCGGTAGCATCTTGATGTCTTGGAAACTGATCATCTGCCCCAGTTTGAGGGCGGCACCTCGCATGCGCGAGAGCTTTGCGACTAGTATTTCCATATTGCCAGGACTGAGCATTAACGACCCATTTGCTGATGCAGCGCCGCCGGTCGCTCGTCGGAAACCTTCACCAACAGCTCCGAGCGCCATGCTTGTGCCTAGACCAGCATACTGCCATATGCGACCGAACCGCGATGCCGGGACTCTCGATTCTCGCAGGGCATAAGAGGCCTTCTCTGGTTGTGTGACTACCTCATTGGGTGACTGTTGTACATCTGTTAGCAAATCAGCAGGCTTCAGGCAAGCGGATATACATTTCATACCTCAGATGCAGCCGCGTTTGACTGCACGTCCTGAGCCAATTGAGATGCCAGGTCTTCCATCTCCTTCGAGGTGGTTGTCGACTGAAGCCCTTGCGTTGGAGGCTGACTTTGCTGCTGCACTGGCGCTACAGGCCTATCGTCAAGTGGATGCCTGCCGCTGGTCTTTGGTATGGGCCTGTCGTCGAGCGGGTGTCTACCACCGCTCTTTCGTTCCGCAAATTCCTTCCTCGAGAAGGGGTCACTTCCTAACATCCTTGCGACCTTTCTTGAGTGGAAGATGTCTGTGTTGATACCCTCTGGTACATCGTCCACCTGTCCCTGCCCAGGCTTCGGAGGATTATAGAACACATCCTGATTTATTTGCTTGTCCTCTACATGTTCATCACTTTGCTGTCTCGTTCCTGAAGTCTTTGGTATCTGTGTTTGAGGATGTGAGGCAGTTGTCGGTTGCGATTCGACCGATCTCGTGTAGAAGACGTCTCTGTCGTGACCTTTCTGAAGCTTCTCGGTTTGTGGTGATATGGGAGTTTGTTGCGGGTCGTTCGCATGTGCAGGGATAGTTTCAGCGGCTTGAGTCGAAGCACCTCTAGGATTTCCGGGTAATGGTATCGTAGTCTCTGTGGACTCTACCGGTTTGATACCTTCGTCTTTGTGACGGACCGATTCACCCTGGTCCTCAGCCAGAGGCTCCTTCGGCGCTTCGTGTACCGGCCTCTCCGAGAATGTATCCTGACCCTTCTCCTCCTGTTCGAGGGTCAAGCCCTGGCTTGGTATTGTCCCGTCCGGAAGTGGTGATCTGGGAGCCTTCTTCTGCTCAACCTCCAGCTCGTCGGTGGGTGGAGGTTCCTGGGCACTGTTCTGAGCGGATCGATCGTAGTGGTGGTCTTGCTCTACGCTTTCTCTTACACCCTCTACTGGTGCCTCCTTCTCCACTGTTCCTTTTCTAGGTATGTCAGGCTGTTGTGTCCATTGTGTATTCGTCGTCCGGTCCGCTGCGGCTCTCGCGTAGGCGGGAGCTTCTTCGCTGAAGCGTTGTGAGAGGGCGATGGCAGCCGCTGCTGTGAGGGTGACGCGGTCCGTCTGACTCTTGACGGCTTTCGCTAACGACGAGGTTTTGTTGTAGGCATCCCACTGGCTCGATCGAAGCGCGATGTGCTTCTGTGCGACAGATTTCGAGGCATTGAAGAGTTTGGCGGCATCAACGAGCCGTCTGCCTGCCATTGCGATCGGATGAAAGAACTACCGGGAGATGCGACACATGCCGAGAAGTGCTGGAGCGGTGCGTAAGATGTGGAGGCCGTCGTGAATCCATCAAAGTTATGCGCGTCATAGCTGCATCAAGTTAGGCCTAAGTGCGGAAATGGCACGATTGGCTGGCTTTCATTCCGAGGCAAGGGTCTTGATCGCCTGGTGGGGCATTCATACCCTCAACAGAGCGACCGCCTGAATTGTCATACTCACGCGATCGCATTTCCTAAAAACCCACCGTCCTTATTAGTCGCTGGACCCGGCCCTATGCTGCTTTTTGTCACCAATCAGGAAGCGTATCCATCTAGTAACACGAATAGACCAGTACTCGTGCCTGGTAGCACCAATCGGTACCCTCCAGACGGCACGGGAAGATAGCGACTATTTGGCCTATCAGTCTGGACTGATTCAAGTGAAAGATACAAGTGTTCTCCCAGAAGCCCTCAAAATACCCAAAACTCGTCTCAGAAATTCTACTCCAGAATCTCAAGTCAACCGAAGCCAACCCAAGGGAACGAACAGCAAACATGAAAATCGCCTGTCTCCAATTCGCTCCAGAAGTCGGACGCGTCCAAGAGAACATCAAAAGAGCCGATGACATCCTCCGATCCGCCGCAATACCCAGCGACCTAACCTGGCTCGTCCTACCTGAACTCGCTTTCTCGGGCTACAACTTCCAATCGCTCGAGGAAATCAAACCATTTCTCGAGCCCACCACATCCGGAATCTCAACGCAATGGGCACAGCAGGTAGCAAGACACTACAACTGCCACGTGACAGTTGGGTATGCAGAGGTCACCATCCCGGATACCAATCCCGAAGACAGTCAAACGCAGTATAACTCCACTGTCACTGTATCACCAAGAGGAGAAATACTGCACAACTACCGGAAATCCTTTCTCTACTACACAGACGAAACATGGGCGTCTGAGGGCCCGGGGTCAAGATCACACAAACTATCCGATACCTCATCACCAGACTCGCCCTTCTACGCTGGCCAATTAGGTGATCTGGGGAAAGTCACTATGGGGATATGTATGGATATCAATCCCTACAAGTTTGTCTCTCCATGGTCTGATTACGAGTTTTCCTCTCTCGCCCTGTCGTCGCAATCGCCAATTGTTTGCATAAGCATGGCTTGGTTATGTCATCTCACGCCCACGGAACTCATGCAGGACCCATCACAACCAGATATTGCAACAGTAGCATATTGGGTCGAACGTTTCCAACCGCTCGTTGACGCTGGAGGGGAGAAGCCTATATTTGTTATCCTGGCGAACCGGTGTGGAATGGAGAAGGGTGTTTGCTATGCGGGTAGTAGTACGGTTTTGCGGATCGAGAAGGGAGTTGTTAGTTTATATGAAACAGCGGGCAAGAGCGAGGAGACGTGTTTGATTGTGGATCTGACCGAGCGGCCGAAATTCCAAGTAAGAAGTGGACGATGAAGGGGCAGAGGGCGTCAATGTTGAGACTGGCTTCGTTTGACAGCTTGGCTAATCCAGACATGCGTAGGGGGTTCAGAGTTCGTTTTTCGTAAAGTCCTTGGTCGAAGGGACTTCTTTAGAGATGGCCGTCAAGGACCATGCCTTCAAAGAGGCGGCTATGGGTCTTCTGGCACCGTCAGGAGCACACAAGAGCATATATGGTGGCAGAAGTGTTGAAGGTGTTGTTGGAGGGGCCATGTTTGACTAGTTCTGGAACGACGTCAATGTCATGAGCATCATTGTTAGATACGAATACCGCAGTAATTTACAGTCTTAACGGGAGTGTTGTGTATGTGCAGTCTACTCAGGCTCATACGTGATGACGAGCCGAAAATCACTCTAGTGTCACCCCGCATTTGGCGTCCGTGACGAGAGCGACGCCTGAAGCATTCCGCACCGTAGTCTTCGGCGACTAAATCTCCGCATCACGATCATCAGTACTCCAGCAATTGTTCGTTGCGACCTAGCATGTGCTTTCATTCATCACTGCCTAGGATCTAAACCATCATGAATCGATTCCCTTCATTCCCATTTACAGACCCAAAGCGCCATGAATGAGAGGTAGGTAGGTATCCGGTAACGTGAAAAGAAATACCACCCATAGCATCCCTCGTTTGCAGATGTACTTCGCTTAGAAGACTGGTCGCTCGGTTCCCGCCATGTGCGAAATTCCCAATGTAATCGCTCGTTTCGTGTAGAGAAGATTGTCGTTGCAGGAACAAGTGGTGATTGGGAATCGAGAATCGAGTGAGGGATGGTTTGTCGGGGGCGATACGCTTAGATACCGAGACGGGTCTTGCGCCAGTGTCGTCGCTTGGCGTTGTACCTGTAGGTAGGATGTCAGTCTCGTGCTCCCATTATCATACTGTGAGATTCCCGTAGTGTCCAGTAGCGACGATCGGAAGCGGCGAGGATGTGCGTATCGTGAGCGGTGCGTACCTGATGGTGTTGCCGGTCCTCAGACGAATCCACTGAGGGATGGGGCGGTTCTGCTTCTGCGCGCGCGCAAGCTTCTGCTTGGTGCGGAAAGACTTCTGGGACTATGAAGGTGTCAATAACGGATCCTAGACATGTTCGCAACCGCGGAGAGTGATATCATACCGGCATCTTGACTGCTTGTTGTGAGTAGTCGGATGTCGAAAGGTGTTGTCGTTGTCGGAAAAAAGCCAGAATATTGATCGATGTTGGTGCGCTTGGCAGGCGGCAAGCAAAACCGGCTAGGCTGTGTTGGGTGCGCTAGCGGGGCTCTAGCGTCATTGCTGTCTTTATCACCTCTTATGCAACAGCATCGACGACTCGCTACTGCGAAGCCGTGAATTATCCGAAGAGACGCGATGACACTGAACAATGTGACTAGAATGGTGTGCTATTGACACGCTCAGTTTTGAGTTCAGCCCTTGCAGCTTGCACTAGGCTCTGCGACGTAACTCTGCACGAACGTGCATGCCAAACGTTGCGTAGAGTCGCAGACTACGCAAGGTCTGAGGCTTACAATGTGCGCTTCAGGCCGGGCATGAAGAAGTGACGGCAGAAAAAGAACGGATAAAGGATGTTTCAGCTGACTTCACAATAAACTGGATGCGGGTAATCCCTGAAGACGAGACCTTGTAACCAAAGCGGCCAAAATTCATTTGCGATAACGGCGACATTGATACTTAGTTTCTCTTTCCTGCCTTATTTTTCCAATCGGTCTCGTCTGCTTGAAGTCGTGACTTTCTTTTTGGAAGCCTCTTTTATTCCAACACTTGTTGCCGCAGATCTCGTCATTCTACTTTTAGATCTACGCTTATCACAAGCTTTTGAGAAAACCTCATCCGCGTTCTTGAATGCGAATGTACTTGAGCGGTGAAGTAACATGCTTCCAGCTTCGAGCTAGGCTTATCCTATCCAAGAACCTTTTGTTCGATACTATAATACATTGCCGACTCAATTGTCAAGCTCATCTTCAGATCATTCCTGCTGCGACATGTGTGTCGGGAAGTTGTAATCCGTGTAATCGATATGTACAAACGCGCGATCAACGTACGGTACACTCTCTGTGTCGTTATTAGCTCATGTGTCTTTAGAAGGAAAGAAAGGGACGAGAACTTACCAAGCACATACTGCAAACTCTCGCCCAAATCATGGCTATCCCTCAAACTGAGGTTCTCATCAACCACGATATCTACCTCGACGTTCAGCTTGTCGCCAGCGTGGTAAGCCTGCAATCCTTGAATCCTCTTGATAGACTTTGCGAAGCGCATTGTCATGTAGAGGAGAATGTTACGCTCATCTGCTGTGGCACTAGCGCCAGTCAAGTTGCGAATGTGCTCCGCAGAGGTAGCACTCCAGTTGATAATGACGTAAGCGGAGAGCAAGATACCACCGAGTGAGTCGAGCCACCAAATCTTTGCAAAGTAGCCCACGAGCGGGAAGAGGATGGAGAAGGTGTTAAAGACGACATCAGTCATTGCGTCTTGGGCTAGTGCTTGAACGGAGGAGTTGCGGATGAGACGGCACCAGAGCCAGCAGAGACCTTTGATGACAACCGTAGCGGCCATGATGGCCACAGCGGGGACGGTCAACTGTACGATTGTATGGTCAGGTCCAGAGAGTCTGGAAATGCCTTCGATGCCGACTTGGAAGAAGGACGTCATCATGATGACGGAGAAGATGAGTACACCGATAGGTTCGAGACGTCGACGACCGACAGGGTAGGCATATCTGTCTTGACGTGCGATCATCCAGGATGTAAACCAGACGATGGCGGTGGAGAGGAAGTCGAGGGCTGCATCGACCAAACTAGCCACCACGGAGAGCGACGAAGTCAAGACTGTGACAACAATCTTCATGATCAGGAGGGCAGTGTTTGCACTGAGGTTGACGTATAGCGCTAGCTTGACAATCGGACTTTCGGTGTCTTCGTCTTCTTCGGGAACCCAGTCTTTTAACTTGGAGTTGGCGATTTCTAGATCTTCTTCGTCTTCTACAGCGTTATCGTGTGCTAGGAGCGGGGTATTCTCGTCTGCTTCGGGGACCTTGTAGAGGTTTTTGGGTGTGCGCTTGACCATAGGTTTGTTTGCGCCATTGCCGTTGTTCAGACTACCCGACGAACCACTTCGCCCGTTCTCGCTGTAATAACCAGGTGTGTTTGTACCGTTTGTACCGTAGCCAGGAGTAACAGCGAGTGGGGTGCTGACAGCCGAAGACTCTTCGGTAATGGTAGTGGGGATCTTGACGGCGCCGGATTCAAGATTCGTGTACTCTTGAATGAGGTTGTGCGGGAGTGAGGAATCGAGCAAACGGTCGATGTACAAGTAGTGCTGCAGAAGCTGGTTGTTACGCTCATAGTATTCCCGTATCGGCTTCTTCATGCCCTTCAGCTCTTCTTCCGTCTTGTAGTACTTTTCCCACTTGTACCTGGGATTGGAGTTGCCAATCAAGCGCTGGCTCCTCATCTGCGGTGTGTTGAGCACATGCGCGCCTATGCTGCTCCTCCGATCCGAATCGCGATCGTAAGGCATCATAAGCCCGTTTCTGTATGCCTCCAAGTCTTCATCGTCCGTGTCGCTGCCTCGGCGCTCACTGCTGCGTATTGTAGACGGCCGACGCGCGCTGTTGAGTAGCGAAGGAAGGTGATGTCCACGCGTAGATATTGCGGAAGCTTCGTTCTGGGTAGGAAGAAAGAGCTTCGAACTTGCTAGACGTGGGAGGCTGGATGAGCGCGGGACAGTCACTGGCGAGGGCGACTTGGGCGGTGGTGTGGATGGATAGTCTGGCATGGCTGCGATTGGGATGCTGTCGCTGAAGAGGCGTGATTAGAGGGCCAATTCCTTCGAATCAAGGTCCTGCGCGTAAACGCGACGAAAAGAATAAGCCAATCTCGTGCCGTCCTCTTATCTCAATAGCGCAGCGCGATGAACTACTGCAGAAAACTTGAACAGGTAAATGCGTGCGCCAGCTGAATTGTCTTGAGATGAAGGGCGATGCGGAGCGTCAAAAGAAGATGTTGTGAAGCATTTCAGCCGTGTCAAAAGCCCAAGGGACTATATGGACCGTGGTGCCGCCGACGCGTGCGGGAATGCGACGAGCAGGTTCGCCGAAACAAGAGGGTCCTGCACCGGAGACGGGATCGACATATCTGAGGCCCACAAATCCTTGCACCTGCATCCACTTTAGCTATGGCCATAGCTTCTCACTAACAATCTGGGGTTCGTGAGCCGAGACGCCATCACAAGATTTTGGCCATGGTTTCGTCTCTTATGTTTCACGTAGTCACATATAGCTCGTCTAGAAGGCCATTTTGATTCGTTTTCTCTACGGTATCTTCCGCTGAAACCCTGCTCCATCGAATTTAGCCCATCTAGCCGTTCTGTGCCCGCTCTGCTGAGGACCCACATTGACCGGCAGTCTCAAGTAATGTATTCGTCCCCACGGTGGTACAGTAGCGCTGTTCCAGGTCTCAAACTCCTGTCTTGGCTGTCTATCACATCTCAGAGCCCGGCATAGTATCTTGGACCCTTGACACCAATCTGCCCTAGCGCGTACTCCAGAATGCCTATGCCTTGTTGCACCGTTCCTCCATGCCCAAGGCATCTTGCAAGCACGCATCAATGAGTATGTTAAATATATACGGATGGTTGCGTATGCGCTCCCGGCATTGCTTCTTGTCCTGGACTCGATGCTCGTGCAAGATGCAAGAATGGGGCAGAGTTAATTCCCGCTGAGACGAGGCACCATGCTTATTCGGGAAAACTTTGTCCCTATATATCTCGACCTTCAGAATAGCGACCTCGAGAGCGAAGTCTTTATGCGTCTCTTTCAGGTCACACAGCAGCCTGGTAGCGTCCTCGTACGAAGAATCCCAAATGTACCAGGTGGCCACGGAAAGTACTAAGAAGCGGATGAACTTGGAAGACTGCGGCAAATTTGCGTATGCATGCTCGATCAGATCTTGGTCAGGACTGGAAGGCCATTTCCATACATGCGGCTGTGCAATCAAGGCAGTCAATATGTCATCTCGAAACTGGGGAATGTCGTACTTGTCAGCGAAAACGTAGAGGCGCAGGAACGAAGCACGCATCAACTGGCAATCGACCACCGACTCTGGATTCGTCCAACGCGAATCGTTCTTCTTCCTTTCATCATGGTAGCCTTTTTCGTCGATTCCAGGAATGGTAGTGGTTTCATCCCTCAATTTTGTCATGAGTTTCTGGAGGACGGCGTCATGTGTACGCATGGAAGCAGCACTCGACTGAGAATTGGCTTGGAAGTGTGTCCACTGCAGGAATATCCGGAAGGTCTGTTCGGAAACGTCTGTCAAGGGTAGAATGCGATCCGTAGCCTCTTTGAAAGGACCCTCGAACGCGCCGCGAAAGTACAGTGAGACAGCCGAAAGCTGATCGCGGTAGACGGGAATATCGACTGCCACATCTGCTTCGCCGACACGCACGGTGACCATTTCGAAACTCATGGTTCTGTCATGTATGTCAGCTTTATCTCCAAAGTCGCGGAGTTGTCGGTATGTCATGTTCCTTACAGAAAGTTTGGGAGCATCTTGCCGCTAGGTGTATGACCAGAGGCCATCGCGATGACTAGACTTGAGCTGCGCTGAGTGTGGTGGCTATTCTCGATGGATGGTGGATGTGAGTTGACCTGTGCGATATGATTATATCGTATCGTTTCGCTTTTAAGCGAGAGAAGTGTAGTGAAGGCGGCTCCCCTATGGACGTGTTCATCGCTTGTCCTCTCATCCCAGACTGGTACTTTCGAAAAGCCAATGCTCGGGTCTGCATTCTGACCGCCGGGTTGGATGCCGTATTTGTAATAGCTGAGATATTCTGCTGGTCTCAGCGGTGGTGTGCGTCCTTTTCGTTTTGTCATGCTGATGTCTAGAGTAGAGAAGAAGCATTACCTTGAAGACGTCAAATGTTCTCAGGGAATTCCAGTGACGTCTTGAGGTGAGCACTGAGGTATAGCGGGAAGGCGCGACGCATCAGCTTGTCGCCATCTTGAAGAAGGCACAACCGGACAGAACTAAACACGCACTTACGGTAGGCCAAGCTTGCGTCGACATATGAAGTCCTCAAATGCTGGGAACAAGATGATAGGTAGAGGACGTAAGATTGGCTAGAGGCATGAAGAACGCGCAAACGCGCAACAGTTGCGTAGCGTATATCGAAATGTTATGTGAGAAAGTGGGGGAGGCGTGGTGAATTATCACCAACAATAAACCAAGCATGACTGATATGCTAACATCCCTCTCTAGATATTTCCGCCTCCATGTTATGCCCGTCCCAGCACGCCCTATGTGTGCAAAAACGCCGCCCAATGCCATATAATACAAAAACGTCTCCCTACACAGTCACCCAGCCTACAGTCCCTCCACACTCAATCCCGGAGTCGCACCTCTATACTTCTCCTTCCTCGCCTCGATCTCCTCCTTCATCCTGGCCTGTCTTTCTTCCCTTCCCACACCTCTGACATACTGCAGCAACCTCAGCGCACCCGTCGGCGTGACACCTTCAACCCGCCTGGCCATGCCTACGCTTTCTGGTCTGGCTACCTCCAACGCTCTCTTCTCTTCAAAGCTCAACCCAAAGATGGATTCGTAGTCGAGGTCAAGTGGTAATTTCAGGTTCTCGTCCTTGAGCCACCTGGCTTGAGAGGCAGTTTGAGCGGCGACATAGGGCGCATATGTGGCTTCGATGTGTACGCGGTCTTGTATGCGCTGTGTGAATTCTCTAATCTCAGGGAGGAGACTTGCAAGACTTGATGGGGTCGTGTTTGGTAGACGGAGGAGGTCGTATGCGGAACGTTTGGTACTGTCGTTTCTAACAGGGAAACCTTCGTTATTCCAGTCTGTCCATCCCATAGTCTTGGATTGAAGGACCTGTGTTAAAGTAGCCATTTGCTCGGCTTCGTCTTCGAATGCTTTCCAGCGCGAGTCGCCAACTACGCCGGCGGCTCGACCCATGGCCGTGAGACGTGTGTCGGCGTTATCGGCGCGAGCAGACATACGGTATTCGGAGCGAGAGGTGAACATACGGTACGGTTCTGAGACACCCTTGGTGATGAGGTCGTCAATCATAATGCCGATGTATCCATCCGCTCTCGTCAAGACCATGGCTTCTTTTCCTAAGCTCTTCAGGCCGGCGTTGATACCAGCAATCACACCCTGTCCTGCTGCTTCTTCGTAGCCGGTTGTACCGTTGATCTGGCCTGCTAGGAAGAGCCCCGAGATATTCTTGGTTTCAAGTGTAGAGCGAAGATGTCGTGGATCAACGTAGTCGTATTCTACGCCATAACCAGGCTGTAACATGGTGACGTTCTCAAGGCCCTTGATAGTTTTAAGCATGGTGTTCTGTACATCTGCAGGGACTGTGCAGGAAATTCCATTGGGATAAATCATATCGCTGTCGAAACCTTCCGGCTCCAGCCAAACGATATGCGATGTCTTATCTGCGAAACGAATTACCTTCGATTCTAGGGAAGGGCAGTATCGCGGTCCTTTGACGGTTTCGCGAATGTGTATAGATTTGTCAAGGTTGTTTCGTATTACGTCGTGGGTTGCTTCGTTCGTTCGTGTCTCGTGATTCAGTAGTTGGTTCTCGACCTGTACTCGCTCATTCATATAGCTGAATGGCATGGGTGGATCATCACCCTCTTGCGCTTCTAGGACTTTGTAGTCGATCGTCTTTCCGTCCAGTCGTGGTGGTGTTCCCGTCTTCAGTCTTCCCATTGTGAAACCGGCATCCTTCAAGCTCTTACTCAGTCCAAAAGTCGCAGCTTCGCCCATGCGACCCGATGGATATGACTCCAGCCCGATGTGTATTTCGCCACCAAGAAACGTGCCAGTCGTTATAACAACATTGCCTGTCGGTATTATCTCCCCACTCTCCAACCTCACACCAGTAATTTTCCCATACTGGCCCTTCGATCCCTCCTCTTGCGTCCTGTCCACAATGATATCCGCCACACTGCCCTCTACGACACCCAGCCCCTTGTATCCTAGCATCTCGTCCTTCATATATCTCTTATACAGCGCCCTGTCGATCTGCGCTCTGGGACCCCACACTGCAGGGCCTTTCTTCCTGTTCAGTACCCTGAATTGTACACCGGCTTTATCCACAATACGTCCAACGACACCATCCAGCGCATCGATTTCGCGAAGCATAGTTCCCTTTCCGATGCCGCCGAAAGAAGGGTTGCAGGAGCAGACACCGAGGTTGTGGACGGAAGGCGTTATGAGGGCTGTTCGTGCGCCGGAGCGGGCTGCTGCTGCGGAGGCTTCACATCCTGCATGACCGCCGCCGATTACTATCACATCGTATGGTCTATATAAAAGTCAGAATTGGTCCAATGGTGGGTTTGAAAGTGTAGTGGCGTACCGATCAGCGCCAGACACAGTCGCAAATGTGCGTGGATGGCGGGTGAAGCGATTCAACGACCGTACCCGGGGCGCATGGCCCCAGAGCTGACGCGCTGGTAGTGGCACGACTCTGTGCATTGTGTAAAATTGCTGTGTTGGACTTTAGATGCCGTACTACAAAAAGTTGGGATGGGCCAACTCGGAGGTCTTCGTTCGCCGCATCACGTCCGTGCACAAGTGGGCAGTTTGTAAGAACGCAATACTTAGGTTGCTCAATCGATGCCTTGATCGGCGTCTGGGCAAGAGAGATTTCCTTACCAGGATTTCCTGGATGTTAGTGTATGTCCAAGTTTTCTGAAGAAAAAAGGTATCATTCCGTAAATCCCAAGCCACGCCACTCCTAGAGTAGAGATCATACAAAGTGAACTTTCAGTCCATAGTGGTACATTCAAATATCGTAAAGAGAAGTCCCGTAAAGAGATCCTACAGCGCCGAGCAAGATATGCTTCATCAGGAACCATCGATCCAGCACACAACATCTTCCACTTGCGGGTATTATAAGAGAATCGCCGTTGGGTAATATCCTAGTCGAAACAGCAGGCAAAACCGTTCGTTTAACCTAACCTTCCTGAACAAGACCCTCGTCCGTAGTCTCCGTCTCCTCAGTAGCACGAGGGCGAGATAAGACGTCGAAGTTGCCTGCATCGAAATTAGCAATCCATCTCCTCACTAGTCCAACACTCCAAAAACATACGTGCAACCAAGCTCAAGTTGCTCTTCTTGTTGCCCTCAGCGTCAAGGTACGTCTCCATGCGCGCATCAGCGTCAACATAGAGTAGCGATCCCTTTGGCAAGTTCATGAGGAAATCCTTCTGTGCTCCCTGTACGAAACTCGCAATCCGGAACCAGCTGGTCTTCTTGTCATCGCCCTTGCCGTAGTTTGTTCCTACTATGTATCGAACTAGTGTCCTGTCGCCGGATATGGTGACTTCTTCGGGTGCAACACCTAGACGGCCAATAACGGTCATGCGCGCGACTTGCGAGGGTCGGGTGGAGGAGAAGCTGCGTGTGAAGGCCGAGGTGGGAGCGCGAGCTGCGGCGCGGAATGTGGAGGAAAACATCGTCGCTGTTGTTTTTTGTGGTGCAGAATTGGCGGGTTGCGTACTTTTCGGTGGTCGAATTGACGGCTGTGGGGTGGACGTTGTTGTGATGCGAGGCGGGTGGGGGTGTTGGGGCGCGACGCGGTTTGGGCCAAGTTGGGCTTGGACGCTAAGGGACGCTCACACGTGCGTCTCTGCCGTTCAACTGCACATCATCTCCCTTTCGTCTGCCATTGGTCATCATCTGCTTATTAGAGAAACCTAACTAGTCTATAGTCTCTTTTGTTACAGGGTATATGCTTTTGTGATCCAAACGCCTCTTGTGGACAGCCCATGTTCCTCAAAGTCTCTCATCCAGTGGGCTTCATCCCGCTTTGACTATCGCCTTGCCTTCTTCTTCTCCCTCTCATCCTCTTCACTGTCGTAATCCTTGTAGATTCCAACTGGTTGAGTCTTTTCCCACGCACCTGTAAAGACAGCCTTCTCTCCCTCTTTCAGCGCATACTTGAGTAGCGCCTCCCGAGGGTCCTCGTCTCTCATATCACTGCCTTCGATCTGCTCCATGACATACTTCTGATCAGGCGTTGACTTTGCAAAAGGCGTCGTAGCTGGGATATGCGGTCTCCGTGGATCCCTGCTTTTGCCGGATGCTGTGAGACCGATCGTGGGATGGCGCGCTGAGAATGAGGCTGCGTTGCCAGAAGGATCATGTGCTTCACCAGCCATTCCGAGAGGATCCATATCTACAGTGAGAGATGGGTCATCATCGAGATGCCGCTTCTTAGGTGCCTTGCTGAGGATTGTGAGAGCGCCAGCGCTGGAGAGCTTGGGATTGAAGAGGATTGTTGTCTGACCGTTGGCTGAACCTGTGAGAATCTGGTTGAGCCTGGGATGCCAGTTGACTGTGATTAAAGGAGACCCTGGAGTTACTGGTGTTACAAGCTCTGGGCGAAGAGTTGCAGGGTTGAGGATGTGGAGGTGGCCAGTCTCTGATCCTGTGACTATGCTCTGCGAGTTGGGCGCAAACTTAATGTTCGATGTCGGATATTGCGAAGACGTTGACGGATGTGATGTGGTGTTAAGAGGCGTCTTGAACTTCCTGGTATCCCACAACTTGATCGTGTCGTCTCCTCCTCTTGTAATGACCAGCCTGCCATCTGCGCTGATATCCAGCCCACTTGTCCAAGTATCCCTCGCATGGGCTTCTTTAATTTCTGCTGTTGGTCGGTGGTATGGACCTTCACCACCCCACATGACCAGACTTCCGTCTAGTGCTGCTGACACAAGCATACTGCTTCCTCCCTCGGCCGCCGCACCCCATGCGATGGCCGTCATCCTTGTCATGCCTGCGCTACCGGAAGCTCTCGATTTGTGTACGATAACTTCTTCCTGCTTCATCCTCTTGTTCACGTCCCATATCCGCACTGTACTGTCTGTGCCTGCTGTAGCAAAACGATCGCGATTCGTTGGATGCCATGCGCCGCTCGTGATTTCGGCTGTGTGTCCTTTTGTGTTGTGCTTGTCTCTCAAGTACATGTCGCCCTTGACGAACTCCGATATAAGTTCTCCATCCCTGCTGAAAAGTCTTGCTTGTGAAGTCGCGGTAATGCATAGGAATTGGCCTCCAGAGTGTGGGCCGAACAAGACTTGATGTATCGAATGCGATTCTGCGGTTTGAGAGGGTTTTGTTGTAAAGGGATCTACCGTCTTGAATGCGCGGATGGTACTCGGCGTGAGCGCACTAAGGTCGTGCAACTTGAGTGTGCAGTCGTTTCCTCCGGTCACCAGCCGTGTTCCAGATGCATCGAGCGCAATCGTCGTGACTGCGCGGTCGTGGGTCTTGATGATCAATTCGTGAGAAACTGGATACTCGTCCTCCTCATCGCTCATATCACTGTCATCGTCGTCGGAATCCTTGTCGTCGTCGTCGGAACCGGCCTCTTTCTTCGCCTGTTTGCTTTCATCGACCACTGGCCTTCGGGCGCGCTCGATTTGCGCCTCTACGTTTACGGAGCCATCCTTCTTCCCAAACTCACTTGGGAGGTATTGCTTGGGAGCTTGTTCATCGTCTGCGGAGAAATCCATTGTCGTCTTGTACGTCAAGCACAGTAACTTCGGTTATTGTTGAGTCGACAGCTGGTCGCGAGAAAGTTCGAGGTGCAGGCGGCGGTATGACGCGCCGCGCTAAGGCAGTGGCCGAGTTGTCGGGACTGCCTTCACACATTGGATCTGTACTTCTTCATCTCAAACACCAACACCAATACCAAAATGTCTTGGTGTTCCAAGTACCCCTCAAGAAACAAGTTAAAGTTTGCCTAGATTCTCATACCCCGCTCGTCTTACGCATCACGACATGCCATATGTGAAGGCGTGACGAGCGTCCACGCCAGACAAAGGTCATGTAAACGTCAAACGACCGGCATTATGCTGGCATCAATAAGCACACACAACGTTCATTGACTGAGCAGCCTGCTCGGGTGATCATGTATACTAATATCGCTATCCGAGTTTTGTCCGGGTTACTCCAAAGATCACACCAGCAGCAGCTCACGGGTGGCGGCATCGTCATGTGCCAAGCGGCTCCGCCATGGTTCAGCCACAAACTTCCGCATATACAAGTATTTTAGCGTATAGAAGCCTCATATCGCCAAGAGCTCCGCTGAGAAATGGTCTGCCAAGTTGTGTGTTGTGATTCTAGATTCCGGTTTGCCATGCTTCTGCACCACTCAGAGCGTTCCAAACTCCGATGTTTCCGAACCGACGTCATGCGTTCACTTCGACACCTGGGCACCATCCACTCTCCTTGGCGATAGCTTCATGCTCCTTGTACCCTCAGCCTCAACACGTAATTACGTCTCCTCGGAGCCATCGTCTCGCTTGGCAAGCATTGTAACTCTAGCATATAAGTAGCTTGCTACCCCGCCCGACTCCCATTATGTACCTCATCGAATACATACACCGTTCAATACAGATATCACAAATCTTACGCGAACGATATTTACCATGCCTCACCACCACCCAGGAACCTGGGCCAGCAAGAGCGAACTCGACCCCACCAACCTCCCTTGGGCAGTCACAGCTCATCTCCTCGCCATCAACAATGACCAACTGCACCGCGTTACCAACCACCCCTTCCTCGAGCGTGCCGCAAAGGGTACCCTACCAAAACCTTTGATCGCTCAGTGGCTTGCAAACGATAGACAATACCTTCAAGGTTACCTCTCTACTATTAAGCACACCCTGAACCTTGTTCGCAGTACACACAAATCAACAACTGCGCCTGGTGACGAGCCAGACATTCCAACACGATTTATCGCGTGGTTAGAGTCTGCCATCAAGAACGGAGAGAGGGAGTTACGATTCTTCCAAGAAGTTGCTGAAATCTACAAAATCGACCTCCCAGCTACACCACTTCAAGAGAACGTAAAGTCAGAAGGCCTTCGTCGCTACGAAGCGCTGTTCGCCAGTGTCGCTTCTCAACAACCAAACACATTCATACCTTGGCTCGAAGGTGCCATCTTGCTATGGTCAACCGAGAAGGTATACTACGAGGCCTGGTCCTGGGCTCGCAGACAAGACGCTCAGTCTTCTCCTCGAAACTACGACAACGACCAGGATGGCGGTGCGATGCGAAGAGAATTCATTCCCAACTGGTCAAACCGCGACTTCCTCATGTTCGTCGAGCAGCTTGAGCGCATCGTCAATGAAGGAGTAAGCGACGCCGTTGATCGAGATGATGGAAAATGGGCAGAGGTCAAGGCTAGGGTTGACCCTATTTGGAGAGCGCTGCTCGATGCTGAGGAGGCGTTCTGGCCGGATGTACCCAGCAGCCACGGCAGTCTGATTGAACCTGGTGTTCAACGGGGTGTCGATGGCAAGATGGATGGAACCACTCTTCGTAGTACTGGAGACAACGAAATACTGAACCACAATCAGGGGGTCCGCAGTGGGGACATTAGCACTTTACGTAGTAACGAGTATGGTCAAGTAGTGAACTAGGATAGCTAGTCACTGGTCAATAGGTGCTGTGTAGGATAGTCACATTCCACTGGTGTCAACCGCCTTCTGTATAGATAATTCAATGAACTTCTAATGATTCGACGTCTGGTATATTTTTGTGTTATGCTGTATAACCACTGCCGCGCCACCGAATATTGTAGTCCAGCCATCTCGCACATCTGAGGCGTGTTCGGACTAGATGACGGCCCGACAGAAGTTCCGTGTGGGGTGGTCCATGCGTCCAATAGCTTGGACGCCGCGAAAATACTGCGAAAAAGTTCGAGAACATCGCATCGCCAATTGCAACACCACCAACCAACACAATAATCGCCATGGCTCTCGTGCAGACCGACCCCGACGCGTATGTGATCAAGCCAGCGGCGGCTGCGCCTGCCATCGACACCAGCGACTGGCCTTTGCTGCTCAAGAACTACAGCGACCGTATGCTGCAGCTTCCCCATAGCTCCAGAATGCTCTGCTAATGCGCGTACAGTGCTCGTTCGCACATCGCACTACACTCCCATCCCCAACGGTTGCGCGCCGCTATCGCGAGACCTCAAGTCGTACATTAGCTCTGGTGTCATCAACCTCGACAAGCCTTCCAACCCATCCTCTCACGAAGTCGTGTCATGGATCAAGCGCATGCTGAGGTAGGAAGAAACCTCGTGACTTGTTTCAGGCGCAGTCAGCTAACACACTCTAAAGAGTCGAGAAGACTGGTCACAGCGGTACTCTCGACCCCAAGGTCACTGGTTGCCTCATCGTCTGCATTGATCGTGCCACCCGTCTCGTCAAGTCCCAGCAGGGAGCCGGAAAGGAGTACGTTTGCGTCATTCGCATGCACGACAAGCTTCCTGGAGGCGAGGCGCAGTTTGCGCGTGCCCTTGAGACGCTCACCGGAGCTCTGTTCCAGCGTCCCCCGCTCATTTCCGCCGTCAAGCGTCAACTCCGTATCCGAACTATCCACGAGAGCAAGCTTTACGAGTTTGACAACGAGAGGCAGCTCGGTGTCTTCTGGGTCAGCTGCGAGGCCGGAACCTACATCCGTACTCTTTGCGTGCATCTTGGTCTTTTGCTCGGTGTCGGCGCTCACATGCAGGAGCTGCGCCGTGTCAGGTCTGGAGCTATGGACGAGACCAAGGACCTGGTCACTCTGCACGACGTTCTCGATGCCCAGTGGCTGCACGACAACAACCGCGACGAGGCCTACCTTCGCAAGGTCATCGCACCTCTCGAGAGTCTTCTGATGAGCTACAAGCGTATCGTCGTCAAGGACAGCTCTGTCAACGCTATCTGCTACGGTGCTAAGCTCATGCTTCCCGGTCTGCTGCGTTTCGAGAAGGGTATTGAGATCCACGAGGAGGTTGTCCTCATGACCACCAAGGGTGAGGCTATTGCGCTCGCATACGCGCAGATGTCTGCCGTTGAGATGTCATCATGCGACCACGGTGTTGTTGCGAAGATCAAGCGTGTCATCATGGAGCGCGACCTTTACCCCAGGAGGTGGGGTATGGGCCCAGTCGCCACCGAGAAGAAGAAGATGAAGGAGGCTGGCACTCTCGACGTAAGTTATTCAACGCTAGGTTTGCGAGTGCTATACTAACGGGTCCAGAAATTCGGCCGCCCCAATGACAAGACTCCCGCTAAGTGGAACACCGAGTACAAGGACTTCAACAGGAACGACGTCGATGGCGCTTCCGCACCTGTCGCTGAGACCACCTCCACGTCCGAGGTCCTCGCCGCTCCTGCTGTCCCCGCAACTGGTCTCGCACCTGCCGAAGAGGCTGAGGCGGAAGCCGAGGTCGCCGACAAGAAGAGCAAGAAGCGCAAGAGCCGTGGTGACGGCGACGACGAGGGTGATGAAGACAAGGCCGAGCGCAAGCGCAAGAAGAAGGAGGAGAAGGCTGCGAAGAAGGCCGCCAAGGCCGAGAAGAAGGACAAGAAGAAGAGCAAGGATGATTCTGACAGCGACTCCGACTAAACGATCAATATCTGAACGATGGACGTCCGGACAAAGCAACAGCGCGCATCGCTGCTTGCCTGTAAAAGCGCTGTACACCACAAAATCGTGTACATGTCATAGTTACTACTACTCTATCCTTGGATACCAGCTTCTTCAAATGTAGCATACCGGAAAATGGCGTTTGGGATCATGGGCATGCCGGCGTTTTTTGGCGTGTCGAAGCTTTCTGCGACAAAGGTGGTCGATTGCGTGTTGACGTGCGATATAGCTTGTTGCTAGACATGTTCAATTCACTGTTTAAACTTCATCTTTCTGACTCTTCCTCATGGTCATTACGATGTGCAGTGGTGCGTGTAGGCTGTACTGACTCTGCACGAGCTATTGAGATTGGGTAACTCTTGCAGCGTGTCCATGAGCTGTCGATGGGTCTGTCATGTTGATGCAAATCGCTGCTGATGTGTCACGGCCCCAGTCCTGTATTGAGTATCAGAAGCTCACAGACATGCAATCTGGCCGTCACGTTCGTGATCATAAAAAGATGCTAATGTCATGCATTGCTACCCAGATATGATGAACATGTTAAACGCTACTACTAGTAGCACAGCGCTATCAAGCAACTCTGTGGATCGGGCAGGTACATGTCCCAGCCACCTTGCTCTCCCTCTACACGGCTGCACATGCATATCACTTCGGAAATTGAGGATGAATTCATCCAACACCATGCATGAAGAGTCCACGATAGCTGCGACGTGCTGCTCTGTAAAAGTGAAGCTTTTAGGATTGTAAAAGCGGGGCGCGTCAAGGAAGACCACGAGGAACAACAAGCGCGCGTCGGGTGGAGCGCGACAGCACATTGCTAGGTACCCGTGGATGTCGATTCGATGCAACCCCTGTGATACAAATTCAGGTTTCTAATTTTGAATCTGAGCGCTTGATACACGACATCAATGAATGTGATCGTATGGATATGGCATTGTAGTTGAAGCTTCTCGAACCTTCTCTGTATTCGCTCCGCATCAAGGCTCGACGTCACTGCTAGCGCCGTTTGACAAGTGGAGAGACATCCAAAGCTCGAGTGATAAATGCGACCCAACCTCATAAGCTACCACGCAGGACATTTACAAACACTAATTGCGCATACGCGAGATAGCTTTCTCTTGTAATCACAGGATTTCAAGATGGTCAAGGAGTCCAAGCTCTACGATTCATTAGGTACGTTTGCCTCGGATATACCCCTCCACCGCCTTGCTCTGCTAGACAGCAGGTATGCCAGGGCCCGGGGTGCTCGGGTAGGCACATGAACTGTTACTGACTTATTTCTAGGCGTATCGGAGACCGCGACGCAAGACGAGATCAAGAAGGCCTACCGGAAGGCGGCGCTGAAATGGCACCCCGACAAGAACAAGGACAACCCGCAAGCTGCTGAGAAGTTCAAAGGTACGTACATGGCATACCCAGCTCACTTGGATAAGAACGAGAATACTAATAGCACCTCTAGAATGCTCACAAGCCTACGAGATCCTCTCCGACCCCGAGAAGCGCAAGACATACGATCAATACGGTCTCGAGTTCATACTACGCGGCGGCGTACCACACCCTGAAGATGCCGGTGGTGCTGGTGGAAACCCATTCGCAGGCGCAGGAGGTGGTGGAGGTTTCCCCTTCGCATCAGGCGGTGGCATGCCCGGCGGCGCACGATCGTTCCACTTCTCGACAGGTGGTGGTGGAAACGGCTTCAACTTCTCCAACGCCGACGACATCTTTGGCGAATTCATGCGCAGCAGCGGTGGCGGTGATGACTTTGACTTCGGTGGCTTCGGCATGGGCGGTATGCCTGGCGGAATGGGCGGCATGGGCGGCGGGGGGGGAGGTAGAAAAGGCAGTCAATTCCGAGGCGGACGACGAGCACCAGAGCCCGAAGTCACAGTTGTGGAGAAGCCGCTGGCCGTGAGCCTGGAGGAGCTGTACAATGGCACCACGAAGAAGCTCAAGATTAAGCGCAAGACATACGACCAGAGTACCGGCAAGCAAAGTACTCAAGACCGGATTCTGGAGGTACCAATCAAGAAGGGATTGAAGGCTGGCAGCAAGATCAAGTTCTCAGACGTGGGCGACCAGGTGGAGGGTGGCACACAGGATTTGCACTTCATTGTCTCTGAGGTAAGTCGCAATTTCTCATCCATTACATGCAAGCCGATACTAATGACACTATAGAAACCCCACGCAATGTTCACGCGCGAAGGCGACGACGTCAAGCACACCATCGAAATCGATCTCAAAGAAGCCCTTACCGGCTGGCGCCGAACCGTACAAACCATCGACGGTAAACAACTCAGCGTTGGCAGCGGCGGCCCCACAGGTCCGACCTGGACAGAACGATACCCCAACTTGGGCATGCCCAAATCGAAGAAACCCTCAGATCGCGGCGACTTCATCGTTGGCGTAAAGATCAAGTTCCCTACAAGCTTGACAAGCGCGCAGAAGGAGAAGTTGAAAGAGATACTGTAGTGGGCTCGTTGGGCATGACGATGGAACGACTTTGATTCTCGTATATCCTTTGTATTTCTTTATTTACTACATCGGGCAGAAGCCTATATATGCTCCAAACGAGCCCAACGAAGGCGTCGGTGGAGTTTTATTATCTTTATTATGCTTTGGGAGGAGGGATGAGGCAGGCATGACCAGTTGGATGGCATGCTGGTGGACATGATGGGGATGATATATGAAATAACGCGTCTACGATAGACGAATCAACGAACTAGTACACTGCGCACGATGTGGTTTGTTTATGCGTGGTTCCATTCCGGTGATAGTTAGCGACTGCGACTGTTCATTCTGTGGCGAAAGAACAACGAATAACGGTACTTCTTAGCGTTCGCGGCTCGCAGTAAGCTTCTTTCCATCCAACTCGCCAGCCATCAACCGCTCACATACACCAAATACAAGCACTCGCATCTAGCTCAGCCATTGGCTTTAGAGATCCCTACCGCTATGCACCACAAAGATACACCACCTGTGACAGCAAGGCTGCGCACTGCCCCGCGTCTTGGCAGCCTCCTAGCTGCAGCCTGACTGAGCGTAACGGGGTGAAATCTGTCCCGGCTTCATCTACATCTTTCAACTTTGGATATGACTTTTGGCCTGTGGCGTTCTATCGCCACGTATATCAAACCCTTGGCCAGTGAACCTATTGGCCCATCCGACACTACAGCTGATCTGGACTCAGCTACCGATAGCGAAACTGAAGACGAAGGCCATGAGCCCTGCTACTTATTTTCGGAAGAACCCGGACGTTGGATGGTTGATACAACCATCACGAAACTTCGACGTGGAGTGGCTGCTGCTTGCCAAAAGTGTAGTATTGTGCTCGATGCTATTACCACCTATAGTAGCGAGCGACTATGCATGGATAGCATAACAGAAGTCAGTGTGCTAGTGGGTAGCTGGAGCATATTGCTTGACAACGACGAACGTGAAAGAATACACCTAGAGCTATTTCGATTAGAAGGTAAGTTATACACGTATCGCTTTGTTTGCTTTCAATAGCTGGGACAGCCAAGAATGTTTGGCGACGACATCTCACCGTCTATGTACGAACTGATTCGAAATACCCTTGCCTTCATAGGAGAGAGCGCACCGAATGAACCAACTACAAAAACAGAGTCTGACTTCCTGCAGGTCAGGAGCTACACACCCTGCTCGATCTTTCATCCTCCAAGATAGACATTCCCACCAGGACACTTCTTTCAGGAGACACATCTTCAGATCAAGCTCTTCAAACATTGCACAATTGGATCGAAACCTGTGTTGAGCATCATGAGATTTGTGCTGGACGAAAAGTCAACCAATTACCAAAACGAGTGCTTGAGATAGATGGAGAGCATGTCTATCTTCGCGAGCACTTGAAAACACTAACCATGTATGCTTGTCTAAGTCATTGTTGGGGTCCATCAGGCCCAGCACTCAAGCTAGACAAGACGACTTCCGGTGATTTCATGGATGGCATACTTATCGGTCGACTGCCGAAGACCTTTGCAGACGCTGTTCGCTTATGTTCAAGACTTGGTTTTCGCTTTATCTGGATCGATGCCTGCTGTAAGTCGCTTTTATTAGATGATGTATATGTAACTAAGGTGCCCACTCAGGCATCATGCAAGACGACGAGGATGACTGGAAAGAAGCAGCAGCAACAATGGCAATCATCTATGAACGGGTCAATTTGACCATCGCAGGTACTTGGGCCGAAAACAGCGACTGTGGTTTGTTTACGTTGGAGCGAGAAAGATACAAGGCCAGAAAGTTAGAGGACCATGAGCTCTACATACAGGAAAGCGGCGCCCCTTTCCCACATCCATCTAATTCCACGAATCTGGATGATTTTCCACTGCTAAATAGGGCTTGGGTATACCAAGAGCGACTTTTGTCGTCGCGGATGGTCCACTTTGGCAAGGATCAAGTAAGTCCCCAACGCTCGCTTCTTCTGAAGATTTGCAATCTCCAGATGTTAAAGCACCCCTGAAGTTTTTTGAGATTGAAAATGGTTTGCACGATACGATGTCTTTTTGCTCGTTTCAAACACATGAATCAAGTGGCTAATTCAACCAATAGATGTATTGGCAATGTCCCACTCGCTTTATCTCGGAGAGTGGGATGACCTACAAGGATATCTACCAATGGAGCAATAATCCAAGTTTTAACCTCTTTGAGGTCATCGGAGATCCGGTCGACCGCTGGCACAAGTTGGTAAACATGTATTCTGGCCTGGACTTAACCTATGCAAGCGATCGGTTACCCGCAGTCGCTGCCATAGTCGAACGTGAAATGCGATTACGCCCAGACGATGTATACATTGCCGGTATGTGGAAGAGTAGTCTGCTTTCGGATCTTGCCTGGGTGCCAGGTGCATCTTGCACGCCGCGGGCGTGGTGTCTCCGAATGCGCTCTCCAACATGGGCATGGCCATCTTCACAAGTGCAAGTTCTTTGGCTGAGCGGAACACTTGAACCATGCTTGAGATTGGTGGACCTATCCTACACTTGTATTGGACCGGCGCATGTTGGCGAAGTCGCAAATGCTAGCATCTCATTGGAAGGTCATCTATACACCATTCGGTTAACACGACACGTCGAGCGGAGGACAGCTGTATTAGAACCGTGCATGGAAATAGTTACTCGCTCAATTTCGGACGTTAGGTTATGCGATTGGAGTACACATATGGACTTCGACTGGTCTGCGGGTGATCGACCGGTCATGGTTGGAGATACTTTCGACGTTTTACCTATCAACTTGCTGTCAGGATCAGCCTCTTATGTGGGGCTCATTCTTAAAGAGGTCACCGACGGCGTCTTCGAGAGAATAGGAACTATCGAAATTGAAGCCGTTTGTCAGTCGGAGATGACCACTCTACAAAAGACTTGGAGGATCTGTGAATTCGTTGAGGCATTGCCAATTCGACAGGTCAAGATTATCTGACGAGATGATAGGGGACCGGGTGCTTGCTTCGGTCAGTGGATACTACACGCTGCTCGAACTACAACGATGTGGTCTCACGAGACCCACCGACCTTCAGAAATTCTTTACAATCACCACTAACAACTTCGTGTGATCAACCTGCGCATCGAACACTACGTGTCTGCTCCCATCGACGTTCAAAAAATGATATGGATATGGAGCGTTGCTAGCATACTCAGCCCTTCCACGGAAAAACAGCGAATCGACCGAGATCTCATTCACGCTCGGTGCATCGTTTTGTTGCGAATCTCGCCCACTGGCTCAACTACCTTTTGGGTTGCTGCCAGAACGGGTTTCCTGGAAGTCAAGTTGTTGGCAGTACGTCAAGTAAAGGTTGAAAGATTATGGTAAAATGCGTATCTAGACCACGTGTGCGCAGCTACGGCTATAATAGTAATGAACCTGTGGACATGTGGATAGTTGGGTAGTCAGCGCGAATACGACTTTTAGAGAGCAGCGCTGGGAAGGAATCTATGGGCCCAGTGATGATGTTGCAAATGCTTGGTGACATCACCCATTGACTCATCGGTCTGCGCTCATCATTGGTTTCAATTGATCATATACCTGTCCTACAGCTATCCCAATCTTCCAGGATACATCGCGTCTACGGAAACGACGCTACATCTGGCACTTTCGACGTCGTCTTTTCTCGCCACAGTGAGCGCGACTGGCGAAACCAAAGCTGTAGTATCTTTCGATAGCCGCCACTCGAGTGGCACATTGCGTTGCATGTCCTCTACCTCTGATATCTGACTTGATATCGGTTTTCCTGCGCACGGTTGACACACCAGAGTTGACGGAAGTGCGGCGACTGAGCTACCAGACTGCGCACGATCTTGAATGACGCGGACAATCTGGCTAAGGACTGCGAACTCAATCTTGAGCTTGAAGCTGTATACAAGAGATTTGAAGGTTGTCTGTATCATATAGAGATCCAGAAACTCTGTCGTGAGCAAAGCGATATCCAGTATCAGTAGGAGTACATTCATTACAACAAGTTGCCACATCCACTTCCTCGCTTTGCCGTCGAAGATGACACGCATCAGCTTGCGGGTCTCCAACAGATAGACGCAGGATATGAAGATCTCCTGAACAGTGAAAAGAGTCATTTGTATCTTTTCCATGACCATGTAGCCGCGTGTGTAAGATTCCGGGTGCTTGGTGTATTGCCGTAGATTCAGCGTGATAGTAGGTACACACAGACATATTGCCGAAGTGACGATCATCCAAAAGATGAAACGGAGGAGTTTGAGATTCGGGGAGATCAAGTACAGGCGAGAGTATAATACGACTGATTGCCCGGGAACCATCAAAATCCACCCGAGCGTAAGGAGGGTGTTATAAACGTAGGGATTATGTGCGACGTTGTTTTGTTTCATCCATGCTCCTGTATACCTCGTCAGCCAGGCCGTCTCCGATTTGGCAAGCTAATCATACCAGTCGCATACGGCACAATGCTGATTGCATTGACTATAAGACTCCAAAAGTACAAGCCGGAGTACCTCCTGAATATGACGAAGACAAGGATGAGTAGTTCGATCGAATTGTACCACGCAATAGCTGTGAACGCGGTCATTGCTCGGGGAAGTACGCGGTTCGCACCGTATATGTCGAAGTTGGCGCCAGTGATGCCATTGGTACCGGTAACGTTTGCCATGTTGTCGAGGTTGCTGTCTGACTGAACTAGAACCTTTAGATTGCATATTGGGGACGTCGCATTATACGACAAGATGCAAGTTCCTAGTGATTGTACGGTCTGCACAGCTTATGCAACATAGTAGTCACCCGTGCAACATAAGCATGTGTAAGCGTCGTGTCCAATGTCGAATCCAGCTTAGCGTCATCACATATCGCTATTTTCGTACTACATGCTGTATATACGATCGCCAACGGTAGATAGTCTAGAATAGGCACACAAATCAGTACCGTCTGTCGAAGTACGGGGTAGTGTAGGTATCGTGCCGCGTTAACTGACACATCGCTGTAGGTGCTGCGGGGAGATGGAAGGGAACCCCATCCAGACTATGTGACTGGCCACAATCGCTATGCTTAGCCTTCTCAAATCGTAGTGGACAAAATAGTGTACGTCTCTTGAGCGATGGAATAATTGATTGAGATTTGGTGTTGGAAGGCTGAGCGCTCTACAAAGCTAGGCGTTTGATGATGATTGTGATTTGGAAGCAGAGAGTGCGGTAGTGAAGCACATAACGCGTGCCAGCTAGGAAAGAATCTCGCAAGCTGCGAGGGTCAAAACGAATGTTTCCTCATGCGGCTACACATGTTCGACTACTTGCGTTGCAGGCCGGTGGAAGTTGGGCTGAAGGAAGGGGCAAGGGACGCGACGCGCGATCCAGCGCGAGAACGCCCGAGGCTGATTATTCAGACATGATGTTATGCTCGGACTAAGGACACAACGACGCGTCCTTCCCAGCCACGCTCTTTCGAACATCTTTTTGCGCGATGAAGCTATTTACAAGCTTCACTATTCATCACCAAATTGTTGGTTCCAATGACACTGAAGCGACAGAATTCAACTCTGCAAACTGACAACAAATCGGGCACGGTGTCTCACAGTGTGTATTATTATGGCGCGAGAACATGTGGATGACAATGGAAAATACCCTTATGGGTAGTGACAGGAGTGGTGCTCAAGTGGCATTATGTGTGCCCAACCGAGTGCATGGCTCTATACTTACGGCAAGAGCTGGCTGTAAAGACCCTTTCTGGGTAACACTTCCACTGGTATTGAAGTGGAAACCCGTCTTAGATACATCATCTGTTTTCATCACCCATTATCATTTTTCATCTATTCATGTGGTTTATCTGTTCTGTGTTCTAGACTTCGGGATTTTCCCTCGCATTTCGCTACATCGAAGAAGTGGATCGGCAAGTATAACATGTTTTCAGTGGTCTGGCAGCCTATGGCTGGATGTCCTCTCTACCTTCTGTTGCAATGAGATCCCTTACTGTTCCAAGGGGCTTCTGAGTTGATGGGATGATGCAATCGTTGAGTGTCATTCGTTTGCGAGTTGCGCGATATGGCTTAGTGTTATGACCGTTTCTCTTTCACTTTCACTTTCTCAAGCTTTATTGAGCGCTTTTATGACGCTGTACTCTCGCTTGTCCATTGCGATTCGCTATTGTTCACCACAAGTCATAGCGCTCGAGACTTTCCAGCGACCTCTAGCCCACCTTCGCAGTGCACCAGCAGTACTTCGCAATCCAACCCCGACACAGTCAGCCGCGATCATACCCAGCAACTTCGATGATCTGTCGCTATAATGTCGAGCAATTTTCTACCTATCAGAGTGGATGAGTCGCAGCGACAGCTCTTCGCTCGTGCCTTACGCCCTCGCCTAGAAGTCGAGCTCCAGCAGCAGATCGTCATCTATGCTCAACAGTTCGGCGATGTATCTGTGTACCATGCTCGCCACATCATCAGAGAGCACGCCGATGCCTTCTTGCAGAGTCTTCAGAGTCTCTCCCGTTCTTCATCCCTGCCACGACCCCATGCAGCCCAGAACATGGCATCGAGAGCGGAAACTGGAACATCCCGATGCAGACTATACCTACTTCGACCTGGTCAACCTCTCTCCTATACAACTACACCGGTATTTTTAGGCAACCTCCAGAGCAATCTCCGCTCGACTCCTGCCGCGATATTCCAACAAGCTCTGTCGTCCCCCGATCTGGTCCAGCTTCTTCAGCGTCAGAATGGTACTCCATCAACGTATCTGCCATTGCGACATGTCGCGGTGTATCCTATCGTTGACAGAATAAGGAAACTTGGTCATGCGATTCGCATCGGGGTGCGTTCAAGAAGATGGTTCGTGTCGCAATGAAAACCCTTGGCCATCTCTTCAAAGATACCAGCTTCGGAAAGCAACTAGAGCGACCAATCGCCCGCTTCATACTTGGTCTCATTCTGGAGCGCGAATGTGCGAACTTCGGCCCCACTCCATTCTTTGTTGATCGAGCGCGTCTCTACACCGTGCGACTCCAATGCCTTACTCGCTATCTCGATAAGATCAGTCGCAGTGCGCAAGACATGGCTGAGATCATCAACAATCTTCGTGCGCCCACTATTCCTGACACGAGCCGCTCGGACGCACTCATTCGACAGGGCAACATGAGTATCGGTACCTACGTCGCGCGTAGTGCGAGCCGTGTAGCCTCCCCACATACCATTGCTGCTTCAGCATCCGTCACTCAGATCGCTGAACCTAAGCTGGCTACCCCAAAACAGACATCTGGTACCTTCGAATCCAGGTCTGACGTTGCACTTAACTCACAAACATCGGCACCGGTGGCGTCAAGCATGAATGTCTTGCAGCATACAACACCGATGCTGTCAGCACACATCGTGCCAAATACACACGCTGTGAGCTTCAGCGTCCAGGCTCAGCCCATCACCACCCACCTGACACAGCTGGTAGGCGCCACAAACCGCAATGTCAACACTGACGGCCCACCCACCATCCACGGAGCCTTCCCGCAGAGTGATGCAATGGAAGATTGTATTCCAGAGCCTACTCGTTGCCAGCAAGTCGGCACAACAGACTCACGCGTGGAGCTCTCTCAAGCTATGGACGGGGTAGAGACCTCGTCTGCCTCGAATCATGTTACCAACATCGGACATGATGAGATGGATGACGTGCAGCACACTAATCAACCGACTGTCGTTGCACCCGCTTCAAGTCTTGTGCAAAACGAGAACCAAAACATGTCCGATGCGTCTCCACTCACAAAGGTTGCACTCAAATCTACTAACGAATCAACTGGAGTTTCGTCTAGCATTATTTTCGGCGAGACGAACGGTCAGGACATGCCTGACGTGCTTCCAACAGCGCGCCCCATGCTCAGTATTGCTATTAGACCCAACTTAGCTCCGCCTGTTACTACTACCGTGGTCACTAAGGATGAGGATATGACCGATACGCCTCTCCCAGAGCATTCTACAGTCAGGTCCGGCCGCCATATCTCTGAGGCTCCGACTATCATGACCATATCGTCTGTCAATCGAATCGAGCGTTCTACGTCCACGCTTCCTGTGACTCCTCTAACATTTCTATTATCGACTGGACAGCCTCCGGCGACTTCATCGTTGTCCGGCCCGACTGGCGCTGGAAGCACCATCCAGTCACGGGCGAAGTTGAGGGCGCAGGTGAACTCACATAACCATTGGGCTAATGGAAAGGTTCAAGCTTTATTTCAACAGATCGCTGAACTTCACCTCGCTCTTCAACAGGCTCTCTCAAGGACGGACGGTCCAGGAGCCAGGGATAACTTTCGGAACGAGGTTCTTGGCTATGTTGACAATGCGGAGTCCGCAGCTGAGCTGGCCCAGAAGATCGACTACGCAATGAGGCATCAACTGTTGACTAATGCGGACTTCAACAAGCTTGCGAGACATGCACACGATGGGCAACATGCTAGAAGGCGGAAGGCGCAAGGGAACATTGCCATACAGAACACGGGCAATGCTCTGCAGACAAGCAAGCAGGTTGTTCTATCTCAAGCCGCTGATAATGATAATGCGCTGCCAGCTGCTCCCGTCACGCCACTTGCTTCATCTCGAGCCGCGTCCAATGTTATTGCGCAGCCAATCAATCTCGCCGCCCCTTCTCAGACGGCCAACGCCGGCGCTACAGTACTAGTCGGCCCCCTCAAGAGGGAAGAATTGGCAACATCAGGACCACAATCGGGCAAAGAGGAGTTGACTAAATTGCTGATTGAGGCGCAAAGGAAGATGATGAACAAGACAGACAAGGCCTGGTCTTTGTTTGCGGGCATGTTCGACTTTTCATGGCGGAAACCATCAGACAACGAGATTATGATAGATTATGTTATCAAGCATCCTAGGTATCAGGGTTCTGACAGCGGCAACCGCAAGAGGGTTAATATCGAATGAACTATCGAGGTGATCAGAGGATTGGTCGCCGATCCGGCACCCTCCAGCTGTGAGATCCTAGTCTGGACGTGCAACGAAGCACTAAATGCTCGAGACGTCAAAGCCGATCAAGAGATACCTGGATCGTACGCAACCTGCGCCGACCGCCAGAAAGAGCTTGGGCCGCTGTTCAGACGTATCTCCGCCACGAACTTTGGGCTCATGATACAAGTCTTCCCGAGTGGTTGCCTGACGTGGGACGAGATGAAGAATCTTGCAAAGACCGAAGAGCTTAGTTTCTTCAAGGACAAGAAGCCTGGGCGCTATGTCCCATACATGCGAAACCTGAAGGAGTACTGGCGCGTCGAGGACAACATGAAAAAGTTCGTTGTTGACCGAAATGATGCTCAGAGTATGGCTACCGGTCAGGAAACTACATCTAGACTCGCCGGCTCACCAAAGGCCAAGCGCAACATCGCAGAGATTTCTTCCGATCATGACAAGGTTTCGAAAGAGAAAGACGCTGATGCGATGGATGACGATGATGGAACGAATGTACCGGAAGCGAACGACGCAGCTTCGAAGCGCTTTTGCAACGCACTCACTGAGAAGGAAGAACGTGCTGCGATGAAGCAGAAGAAGGGGCGTAGAGCTGATGACTCTGGTGGAAGCGATCGTATGACGCGGAGTCGTGAGTGATTCTTTGGGTCCGATGCGGGGTTTTCAGCGAGTGTCTTTTTCTGTGAGCGTTCTTGTTTTTCTTTTGATCCATATGGCACACATTTGTGTCTTTGGATTAGTTTCTAGTTCCCGCGTAGCATTCTACAGGGATACTATAGTACGATTCGGCGTTAAGTTAATGATACCCAGGGAAATATAAGAGATCAGACTAAGATGATCGTTGTGACCTATGAGATCGAATAAGTACTGCACAAGTCTAGGCTTGCGGTGATGAGCGGAATGTTTTGGGTCTCAGGTTGTGCAGGTTTGGTCATTCATTCCGTGTATTGACCACAACGCGCTTCTCGCGAACCTCATAAGTCGTAGCGCCGGGTGGAAAATGCAGCGATAAGCTACGAAAGGAAAGGTTTTACCGAATAGTCGTATTGAAGAAAGTAAGTGTTTGTAATACTGACCGAACGCCAGACACGCTATGCTAAGAGTAAGGAACGGCTCCAAATGTACATCACTGGCAGGCATAAACCTAGCTACCAGCATGGCCTGTGGGACCTTGTGAAGTGTCTGTAAAAGATTAGCTGCAGATTCGAAAACGCTCGTCTCGCGATCGGAATACTCACAGTCCATTGTCACAAAAGCGCGATCCACCTCATTTAAGCCTTCTAGACAGTACTGCAGAGTCTCGGCAATGTCATGACATTTCCTCAGCGGTGTCTCCTCCTTCATGAGCACATCAATCTCCACACAGACACCATCACCTGCGTGGTAGCACTTGAGACTCTTGAAACCTTCAACGAGGGGTGAGAAGCGGTACGCCATGTACATCATCTTGCGCTCCACACGGTCATTGGCTGCTTCACCAGTCAGACGAGTGACATTTTCGAAACAAGTGCAAGCCCAGTCGTAGATGATGTATAGCGAAAGGCAAGCTGCGCCGAGAGGATCGAGCCACCAGACACCGACGTGGCCGCCGATGAGAGGGAAAAGAAGGGAAAGTGTGTTGAAATAAACGTCTGTGTCGGTTAGCAGATATACGTGGTTGGGGGAAGACACAAACGCACCAGTTTTGCAGTCTTGGGCGAGGGCCTGTACTTGCGTTGTCTTGACCCTTGCACATCCAAACCAGATAGTGCCCTTGACGACGATTGTAGCTACCATGGCGAAGATAGCAGCGGGTGGCAACTGGGATACACTGTGGTCGCCGCTTGGCAGGAGCTTCTTGACCGACTCTTGCAGAATCTGTAGGAACGATATAACCATGATGATAGAGAAGACCAGAATTCCAATGGGTTCGAGGCGTCGTCGGCCGATGGGAAACTTCTTTTTTAGACTCTGCAAACGCCAGCCAACGAGTTTGTTGGTGGTCCAGATGATGATAGTGCATAGCAAGTCAAGTGCCGAATCAACAAGAGACGCGATCAGCGACAAAGAGCTGGACCAAATTGCTGCTACACCCTTGGCCGCGAGTAGAAGGACGTTTACAAGGACGTTGATCTGAAAACTGTCAGCTTTGTCTATACTTCGCGTATTTGAGACCTACGTTAATCGCCCATCGTGCGTGTTTGGCGGATCTCGCTCTTCGGTCACGCTCTTCTTCGGGGAGAAAAGGTTCCAATTCCTCGCCGCTATTGCCCAACGGTCCACGATCTTCTGCTACTCCGTCGCCATCGGTATCTCGCGGATTCATACTATCCACAATATCATCGGCAAGCGAGGAAACAACCATGTCTACTTCTGCCCAGTCGTCCAAGCGCGAGTTCTGCTCCTCGTAGAAGCCGCGTACTTTCTTATTCTTGATGGATTTGAGCTGAAGAACACATGTTAGCGTCGCTACAAGTAGACGTATGGATTAAAACGTACACTCTCATCGCTCTTCCTGAAAAATTCCAGCGCTTCATGGTCGATATTATCGATCAACTTCTTCTTCATCTCGTTGGCGCGATTGTCCTTCACAGTTTGGTCGATCGCGTCACGAAATCGCTTCTTTGATTTGACAGGATTATTTCCTCCATATCCGCCTTCCAGGTCGACACGCTGGTATTTACTGAACTCGTTGGCATTGCTTCTGCTGTTAATGCTGCCGTTGCTGTTGTGGCTGTTGAGAATGTTGCGTCTGGTTCCGACCATAGCTCGTAATTTTCGAAGTTTCCGGAACTCCTAGGGTATCGGTGCAAGGTTTGAGAAAGAAAGAGGTTGTAGTCAAGGGCTGACAAGAAAACCAAGCTTACAAGAAGGAAGACGCGACGCGCTGTCAAACCATGGCAGCCAAGATTCCGAGACATGGAAGACGCCAATGCGTAATAGCGTTGGAGAGCGCATCATAAACTGGAGACACTATGCCACATGTGGCAGTGTCCCTGCATCAGAGGGATATACTCTCGGTAGTGCTTGCTCCAGGCTGCGTCAAATGTCGCTGAATGGGTGCTATGACATCACCTCTCTAGCGTCGCGTGGTGGACGCGATCGCGGCGCCTCCGCGTCAACCATCGAGGTTTCATCGCCTTGGCAGGTACCGTCGCGGCACATCACCCCGCAAAAGTGTACAAGCTCTGATCTATCGAGTTAGACAGTCGGCTTGCTTTTTCAACACAGTTGGGATTGTTATGCGAACAGCGATAAAAACCATGGAATGGAAATGTGAGCCACTCGGTGAGGCGGTGCGTTGACGTCACGCCCCCAAAACCGGATGGCCTCTTACCACCAACGCCGTTGAAACACGTTCCGGCCATCGCAATGTGCCGCTTAGCCGAAAGGGCCGAACCAAGCGTCCGGTACACTTACCTGGGATCAACCATCGACGAATCGCAAGACAAACATCCAATCTCGTCTTCGTCAGATTTCAGCTCGAATTGAGTTTCAAATGTCACCCGACCAATGCCCCTCTCGATCTTGCCATTTAATTCGCCGAAGGGCTAGGATTATCTACCAGTCACGTGAGACACCTCCGATTTGTTTGTGATCAACCCCAGGACAACTCAAGTTATGATTTCTTCCTTCTTGCAGCACTCCATCAATGGCAACATGCAATAGTCTTCTCTTTTAGTCAGGAGATCGCATCTGAGAAGCTATGATGAGGCGCTTCGCTTTGTGCCGTTTTACATAAGCAACCCCCGCAACCACCGGATGAAATATATGTCCGAGCTGACCTCCAGGACTGATACGAGAGGCGAAGCTCGCCAAGTTGTGCCCAAGGCGCGCCGAGGGACGACAAACAAAACCGCGGTCATCTGCTACGGCGCGTTGTTCCTTTGAGCGCCAGTAACCACCCATCATGGCAACATCAACAGCACGCGCCGGCCGCCCGAACAACAATGCGCTACTGGCTGTAATGGCAGTTCTAGCTGGGATTGGGCTCTATACTATGCGCATTACGACAGCTCAAAACGAAGTTCCTGTTGGCTTTTTGGACGTAGCTGCGTCAGGTACTCTGCCTAACGGTGTGTCCCTCAAGAAGCACTATACGGGTATCCGTATCCTAGACGAGGGACTGTCTTTCTTGGTGGCTGCATTCTTGTATGGGCCCACAGGATGGAGCGAGACCTTCTACTGGCAACAGCTCCATTTCCTCCTTCAGATCACGCCCCTTCTTGCGGTGCATGGTGTCGAGGCATGCCGGGAGCGAAACCAGGGTAGTTGGGTTAAATAGTAAGTGAGCCATCAGGAGGAATTTGACGAAATTCGACGCATGTTGCTGATAATATAAAGCATTTCTCTTTGGGCCTTCATCTACCAGAATGTGGGAGGAGCTTGCATAGTGACTCTCTGGTGGCTAGCCTTCCATCGCATCTCAAGTCCAAAATCATACTTCCAGACTGGACGCACTGTTCCATTGCCTTATGCGCGCGCGATTCTCCCAGGAATTCTCTTATTCTACGTTGTGCCTACCATCGCATTATTCATCCCCGGCCTAGATTCAGACATGCTCCAGAGCCTTCTGGCATTCTGGCAGTTCACGCCCATTTTCGCCAATATCCCGCTATGGTTCGTTGCTCTCTCAGGTTCTTCGACCGTCATCACCACGAAGAACAAGAGTGCGGACGTCCGAAGTCTCAAGATTCTCTATGCTTTCGCTTTCGTTGTCTCTGTGGCGACGCATTGGATCACCATCCGTGGTATCTCCCTATCCGACAATCCCGATGTGACTTACGCCCGCGTATTCATCCCCAGTACCTACACATGGAAGAAGGGTATGGAGTGGGGCCTTCTGTTTATCTTCCAGTGGGACTGGCTCATCATCGGATCAATGTACATTATTCCGTCTTGGGTCGCTATATGCGATGTGCAGCGGGTGAAGAATGGAGAAGCCACACTCGAGAACATTTTTGAGAGCTTTCTCGTCATCGCCGCGGTGACGGCTATGGGCGGACCAGGCGCGACGCTTGCTGCAGTCTGGTTTTGGCGAGAGGGCAAAATGGCGGAGATTGAGAATGCATCGGGTGCGAGAAAGATGCAGTAAAGATCGAGAGCTTGTGTACGTTTACCTATGTACCATCAGCAAAAATGTGCAATTACACAATATTAGCTATGAAGAATGTGGTAAGAATGCAGTCTATGACCAGTGGCAATGTAAGCCAGCATCACGAAACGTTGCATGATATCTGGATTTCGATTTGCATTGCATCGCAGCTCCTCCTACATCTGCTATTCTTCCTTCTTTTTAACCTGTCCGCTCTCACGATTGTTCTTGTCTACCCTATGACCACTTAAACTCATCCCAGATATGTCTGATTTCTTGCCGCTCCAGTCGACAGCCGCTTCATCCTGTACTCCAAAGTGCGAACCGTCTGGTTTCAATGCAACAGTAACCGCCACACCCGCATTCGTCACCTCTCTGGTCTGTGCTATGCCTTCACGTATCTTATACTCGTGAACCCTCTTAAGTATCTCTTTGTCTGAAACTCGCCTATTTCGAGTTGGTGTGATGGCAATCGCTTGACTCTGGTGCTGTAAAGCCAAGGGAGGTTGTGGTAGAGGGCGAGGTAACGGTTCCTGCAGATATTGCTGTGGTGGTGACATTCTAGTATCGATAGTGGCCTGCAAGTATTCTCTGGTTGTTTTGTTGCCTTTACTGTCGTTGTTCTTATGCTTGTCAGCAACCCCTCGTTGAGAAAGTGTTTGAGACACGATTCCAGGTATCATGCATGTCATCTCTTCTCTGAGATTAGGCAATAGTCTCTCAGCCACCGCGGTGGCTAGTATCGGATTTATATGTTCAATAATGGTTTTGAACTCAGTAGTATTGCTCGATGAGGATGAAGTAGCCATTGTATCGACTAATCAAGCGGTTGATGCTGGGCCAGTGGTGTTGTAGTTGAGTGCTTATATATGCATGGGCAAATGATGCTAGTTGAGCTACCAAGTATCTGGTGACCATTGTTATGATGGTGATGTGACTAGGGGATTCTTCGTGGTCTCCACATGTGACCATGAGCAAGATGTTTGATTATCGGTATGGCAGAGGGTGTCTTAAGAAGCTGGTAGAATTGGTGGAGGTCTGATATCAAGTAACCGAAGTGTTTTTGGACACCAGATACCTTCAGACTTGAGATGCAGTCCTACTCTACGCGCAGTCGTTAAGGTCGCGCTAATAATGTAGCATACCTTTCCTTTACGTCTCTCAACAATGGTGACTCCAACACCTTCTCCCAATCCTCATTCAGGATGTTTTCCAAAGTAGCAACGCCCACTCCAACAAGGGCCTTAGTCTCCTCCTCGTTCGACCATCTAACTCTAGTAGGCCAGAATGCAACATGAACTGCCCAGTGCACTACCACTCGTGTCAGCCACGACCTACCAAGCGTCTCTGTCTGCTCCCGAGCTATAATATAGGCGTTCAGAAATGCACTAAGTAAACCCCTACCGCCACGAAAGCGATCAAGAAGGAACGATTCGGCAGCGAACTGACCAACATCGGTTGCACTGGTACCGCGGCGCACCAGCTCCCAATCCACAATCGTCAGCTCGACTGGCTCTTGTTCAATGTCCCGCACGAGAACATTGCCAGGCCAAAAGTCGCCGTGACAGATACATTCATCATCTACCGCGACTAAACTTCCGAATCTTTCGTTGATAACGTGAGCCAACTGAGGGTCGTAACCAGATTGTGTAAGGGCGATGTGTAGGCCGTTGTATGGATACCGATAAATTTCGACCGCAATAGGGTTATTGTCGATGCCTCGATCTTGATCCGGTGAAGCGAGCGAGAGATTTCTTGCGGATAGATGCAGTGCAACGAGCCATCTTCCAATCTGTTCCGCAATGTATGGTATATCAAGCTCCGGGTCTGTATAAGCGTCCTTTAGATTGCGACTACCTCCATCTTCGAGTTCAAGCAGCTTGTTGGTCTCGTCGTAGTTCAACAGCCGTACCGTGTGTACGTTCGATCCGGGAAGAGTTGCGATCAAAGGGCTCTCGGAGGAAGATAGAGCCTGCAAGATTCGCGCTTCGTAGTCCATACGCTTAGGGTCGAATGCAAAGTCTTTGTTGCTATGCAAATAGGGTTCTGCGTGTTTTAAGATGCTTGTCGAGCCATCATGGTTTGTGATACGGTAGACATAGTTGGCACTGCCTCCTGAGAGTAATTGTACGCTGATAGGTGTGGACTGGTGTGCTTCGAGGTATTCTTTGACCCCCTTCTCACTGGTAAGTTTGTGTGAAGACATGCCGGTAGAGGACTCTTGGAGACAAGCCTACTACATGGCTTTTTGTAAACAATTGCTGCATCGTGACTTTCTCTCCTAACTCATGACAGAGATGTTGATCGGTGAAGCTGTACGCAGTAGTGACATGATTCTATATGAGTCATTTGCCAAGAGCTGAGCAGTGAGGGGAAACCTGGGCGCTGCAATTGGAGGTGAACAGTATTGGTGCTCACCGCATTAGGCCGAAAGCGGAATAGCATCTGCTTGCGTTCGCCCCTACCCCTGCGGCATCGATTCTGCCCCGCTCCACGCAATACATCTATCACACCTAGCTCCATTCATGCTACATGATCGCATACAGCAGATTTTTAGTATTCTTGTCTTTGGCGCAATAGATCGCATTTTTGACCAAACTTCCGGCTGGTAGCCCTTCGCTGCGTTTTACTGGGTTATGCGTTATCTACCACCGACCGGCATCCACTTAACGCGAAATCGCTTCTACAATCGCAATGAATACGCTGTATCCCACGCGACTATCGGAAAGTGAAATCCGCCTCTTGCATATACTACCCTCTGAGTCTACGGAGTCACCAGTATCGTGTGAGCTTCGGCAGTACGAGATCGACGATATCCCCGCATACGAGGCGCTCTCTTACTGTTGGGGCGACTCAGCTGAACGGCGTGAGATAGTTTGTAATGGCGCAACACACTGGGTCACGATGAACCTGCGGGATGCGCTTGTTAGATTGCGACTAACAAATGAGGCACGGATTGTCTGGGCAGACGCACTGTGCATTGCGCAGTCTGATGAAGAAGAAAAGAGCTCTCAGGTACGCCGCATGGGTTCGATCTTTCATTGCGCCAAACGCGTCGTTGTCTGGCTGGGCCACGTCGAAAAAGAGTATGCTTTGGATATCAAGCGTGTTTTCGATTCTCTGATATGCGTCAAAGCCTTCAAAGGTGATCCCGAGCACCACTTTTCTGATTGGCGTATCCCGGATATAGCTGCAGTCTTCGGCGGATCGCTACCATGGAATGCGCTAAATCATTTCTTCAATACCCCTTGGTTTCGGCGGATATGGTGTATACAAGAAATCAGATTAGCTTCTGATTCAATGTTCTATTGGGGAGCTGAGGAACTTTCGAGGTACGTTCCCGTGCGCTTAGCTGGATGGACGGTGGACCGTTGCCAAGGTGAGATACAACATTCACCATACGCAATCTTCGAACAGTTCGCTTATTATATGAACGGTCCATTCCGTGACGACAAATGTAGTCTTCTTTCAGCTCTGAGAACCTACAGAAAATGGGAAGCTACGGATCCTCGAGATAAGATCTATGGCATTCTTGGTTTGATGGAACTTGGTGAGGAAAGACATATCATCAGAATCGATTATGATAAGTCAGTCCAGGATGTTTATCATGATTTGGCCACTGCAGTCATAGGATGGACTGGCGATCTTGCCCTCTTTGCCCATGTACATCATGGTGCGCACTATGACGGTGACCCAACATACAAATCTTGGATCCCTCAATGGGATCAGACGGTGCATGTGCCGATTTTTCCGATAGGAACTTTCTTGTATCCCTCTACTCTACCAAGCGGGACGTATCATACGATATCCCCGCCCGTAGGCACTGCACAGCATTATGACCGACCATTAACGGTATCCGGGTTGACCCATCAAACAGTCTTGTATACAGGACCGCCGATAAATGGGTCCCTTACCGACTTGCCGTATGAGAGGATAACTTTTAGAAACTATCCGCAACGGATTATCCTAGAGTACTGGAGCGAGAAGGTGTCCGCGGGGTCACCTTTAGGCCGTGATATGAGTCCCGTAATGATGTCAATGGCACGGACATTGACCACAGGAGTGGTATCTCAAGATGATACGCTGTACGAGTGCGCAACTGAAGACGATATAGCAGCATATTTTCAAAGCTTCTTAGCCTATATTCGCCTCCTCCACTCGATTGCTAACAACGAGAGTGAAGGCGGCTTAACGACACAAAATTTGAGCGAGTATGACGATAGTTGGAAGCTGTTTGAGGATATTATGGGAAATTGTTGCTATCGACGAAAGTTCTTTCGTACCAAGAATGGTACCCTCGGCCTTGGACCAGCTTGTCTGAAAGAGAATGACATGATTGTAGTCCTGGAAGGGGCATATAATCCCTGTGCGCTACGACCAAAGGGCGACACCTACCTACTATTAGGTGACGTGTACATGGACGAGATCAGGCACGGAGAGCTCATCAAAGAGATTGAAGAAGGGCGCAAGGAACGTCAGTATTTCTGCCTTGACTAAGATATTGCGGAAAGGAAGTAGTGCAGATACTGGCTCGGTATTTTCGCTATATAGACTGCTGTTTTGGCTAATTAATATTTGAATTCACCACCCTTGACGCTATTCCTCCCGCCAATATCCAACTCCAACAGGCGCGCCTTGACCCTCCGTGCGACAGCTTTTCCAAACGCGTCGACATTGTTGTGATTAGGCATCTCCCCACTCATTGAAAGATCTGCTTTGCCCCACGGTACATCCATCGTCTCTTTACAAGCATCCTTCATCTGTTTGAACATCTGGTCGTCAAATCCTCCGCCCACAACAACTGCAGCTGGCCGCTTGGCATAGTTCTGAGACCCGAGATTGGATTGAGAGTTTGGCGGTACAGTGAACGGAGAGGCTAGAAGAAGCGGAAGATTACTTGTGCCAACCGTTGGGGAAGGGATTATGTGGATTACTTCGAGACGTTAGTTCTCGTTGTAGGGAAACGCAAGGAGGATGGCAAGGAAAAGACGTACCATCGTACTCAGGCATGAGATTTTGCCGAACCGCCTGGGCGAGTTGAGGATTTCTACCGCACAAGATGATAGGGATTGCAGACATGTTGGGCGTAGAGGTGGAATGCGGTTGTGTTTGGAGGATGTGCGATGCTACCGAGATCGAACGGAGCTGGTGTGGAAAGTTTTGTAGGATGTTTCTGAACATTGGCCAGTTCAAGCCGAAGATTCAAGCGAATTGCATTCTCACCTTGTTCTTATATTGCACTTCAACATTGTCGTCTATATGTCCGAAGCGGCTTAGCGTGACTCTGGAGTGGGTCTGAGGATATCATAAGGCGCCCTGGTATCCATACACTAACGAGGAATAGGATTGACTTCGGACTGTAAGAGCGAGCGAGGTTACTCAGCTGGAAGGCGAGCACCCGAGGAAGCAAATCGCTGGTCGACAGTTCGGAGTATCAAGATACCAAAAGCGGCCGCGCCTGGAACTATGATTGGTGGTAAGAAGACGATTCTAGCAACCATAAGATTGTATCGTGCGTCTTTTTTCAATTATGATAAACAATACTACAATTACTACGCCATGTCCTCAGGGATTTCCAGTACTATCACAATACTCAGTGCTTGCGCAAATATAAGACCACCCATCCAAACAACCTGTACACAGCAACGATGACCAGAAGATACCCCACATACTTCCCTGTGTTTCCCGTCCCAAACCCATACACGCCTAACACTGCCTTCCCATCCACCAAGCACTGATCCTGCAACTCACTCGGATACATGCACTGGCACCCACCTCCTTGTAGCCTCTCACAAGCATAACTCCTCTTTCCAAACTCATTGACCATCATCCCACGGAATACATACGCCTGGTAATCAATGTAGTGGAAGACGTACCTCCAAAAGACATTCAGCGTATCGGGCTGCACCATAAACCCATTCACGCACATCCAAAGCCCATTCGCAAACGCCGTCGCCGCGAGCGCAACAACAAATATAGGAATGAGACTCGAGAGCAACACGACCAAAGACTCTGCAGCCAGCAGGTCCAGGAACAGCCAAAGCACCCACATCCAAAACCCCTCTGCACTCGGTCTGAACCCCCCTAGCCAATAACTCACTACGCTAAACAGCACGGTGATGAGGAAGAGATATGGAATTCCCACGATAAAATTAGCCAGCATGAACGCTGTAGGCCCGTAAAGCCCATTTGCGTGTTCCTTGGAGTAGATAGCGAGGTCTTCGAGGTACGCGGGGATGTAAGCGACGGCCATGAAGGACATGAAGGCGCCACCGAAGAAAATGGCGTTGGTAAAGGCTTGGATGTTGGATTGAGTGGGAGAGAGTCGCAGCCAGACTGTGCCCATCATGATGGCCAGGCCGAGGTACATGGCTATTCGGATGCCGTACGCGACGATATCGCGGTGGGATTTGATGAAAGAGCGGTGGACCAGGGGTAAGAGGGTTGAGAGAGCAGACACGCGTGTGCTGGAAGAAGTGGGTGGAGAGGATTGGAGGGAACCGGATGGCATTTTGGCGGCAATGCGGAGGTTTGCGGACAGTGTCGCCGCTGCGGGAGATGTAGCCCAGGAAGTGTGGAGATGAGCGAGGCGTTGCGATGCGGCGGTGTCGTCTTGGGAGAAATCCGTGTTGATCAGGTCGATAACAAACTCGGCTGGATTAGTGTACAATGGCATCTATCGACAATCATGTTAGTTGTCGTCTTCTTCGCAACACGATAGAATGTAGACTTACCTCATATCCCAGCCCCTCAAACCACTCCTTGACTCCCTCAACCTCGCCATTGTAAACGCACTTCCCGCGGCTCAACAACATTAGCTTGTCAAACAACCCAAAGGTCGCAGTACTCGGCTGATGAATGGACGCAATCACCAAGATCTTGTACTTCTTCGCGATGCCCTGAACAAACTTGATGACTTCGTAGCTAGCCGCAGAGTCAAGTCCACTTGTCGGTTCGTCGAGGAAGAGTATCTTTGGGGACGTGATCAGTTGACTGGCGACGCTGACACGTCTTTTCTGACCGCCAGACACACCCTTTCGGATAGGAGTCCCGATCAGAGTATCGGCTTGGGCGGTGAGACCGAAGGAGGACAGGAGAGACGTTATAAGGGCTTTGCGAGAGGAGGCTGTTACGGAACTTGGGAGTGCGAGTTGAGCGGCGAAGTAGAGTGTTTCGCGGACAGTGAGGGAGCCGATCAGAGCATCTTCCTGCTCGACGTAAGAACTCATTTTGCGAAAAGACGATAGTGCTGTTGGAGCGCCGTTTATGCGGAGGGTTTGTTGAATGGTGGCTTTAGGTATCGCGGCGCGGTGGGCAAGGATATTGAGGAGAGTGGTTTTTCCAGAGCCACTGACGTTGCTACGTTAGATGGTTGTCCATAGTCTGGGTGAGGATGTTATGAACGTACCTTGGACCCATCAGAGCCATCATCTCGCCTGCTTCAATCATGCCGCTAACGTTGGAAAGAAGATCAATTGGCTCTTTCGACACCCTGTCTTTGACTGTGACCGTGACATCTTCCCAACTGAAGCTCTTCACTTCATCATTGCTTAGATGCGCATAGTCTGAGCCTGCATTGCCTTTCTCAACGTCTCTTGTGGTAATAGATGATGACATGACTGAGAGATCAAGTCTGAGCGGTGTGCTTCGTGTAGTTCACTACACGATCAAAGTAACCTGGCTGGAAAAGAGTGGGCAGAAACAGCGGTATATATTAAATGATGTAGAAGAAAAGGATTGGTATAGTAGGGGGTAAGGAATGAAACCGAAATTCACACTTTTCGATGAACTATCTGTTCAAGAAGCGATTGAATGCGAGATGGAGTGGAAGATGTCAAGACTATGTAAAGACAGCTCCTAGATGGGAGCAAGAGTATGGGGGCCAAAAGCTCTATGAAACCCGCAAACCCACCTCCATCTCCCTCCCAAGCAGTCAGACATACGTGAACGCCGATGCTTTGCAGCACCAAGAAGTCCCCGACGGTCCGATATTACTGTCATCGGCGAAAAGTCACCGGAAGGGGTGGCCTTATTCACAAAGCCAGGCTGTTAAGATCCTATGCAGAGATCATCATAACCTATGAAGCCAAGGCTCAGAGAGCAGTAAGCATCTCAGACCAACCAATCGTTTGTGTAATCATGTTCCGCCCACAGTTACCGGTATGGTGGTTTGGCAATGTGTTGTTGCGCTTGGCGCAGAGCGGCTGGAGGGTGACATGCAGCTTACTTCCCCGTTATTGGTTTCTGGAACACGCCTGGAGAACAACGTCCATGTAAAATTGCCAGACACCGGTTTTCGGGGTCTTCACAAGAACAGTGTTCTGAAAGATAGTATAGTATCGCGCCCACTTCTATTCGAATCTGGTTAGTGCAGCCCAGAAGCTCAGCGTTCCGAGTCCTGAGACGTGGCGATTCGGAACAAGTAGCGGTGGGAGATCTCGAAAGTGCTCGTCATGTCATATCAGATCAGCGAATATGTTGTCTCGGGGTGTGCAGCTGAAGCCCTATCCCGCGAGCTAGCTGGGTGGCTTGCATCTCCACCCCTGTCATCTCGGCGACGTTGTGGAGTGCACGGACGCCACCTGGTGCGACGTCGCCGACTGCATTTAAGGCTGAAGATGCACGTTGCAGCTACACAAAAAGTCAGCAGATGGGAGGCGCCTTTGGCGGCTGATGTAAAACGCATTTTCATTTTGTTCAACACAAGGATAATATAATACTATGACTCCGCCTTTGTTCTTTCACAAACGGTCGTTACTATCCAGCTGGAGTACTGAGAAGACGAGAACCAACGCAATTCTAATACATGAACTCACTGATCTCGAGTAATTGCGCATCCAACGCCCTCTTCGCTTGCACACTAGCCTCCCTATTCTGATCATTAAGCCTCTCTTCATAGATCATCTGCAACAACTTCTTGACCTCCTGCTCCCCAAACACGTCACCCGGCACACCAAAGCCCTTACCATACTCTTTCGCTCGCGCGACAATTGCATCTGGGCCTGCGGTGAAGAGATCGAAGAAAAGGGCTGCATAAGGCAACGTAGCACCGTCTTCGATGTTCTTGAGATTCTGCTGGAGGACCAGGATGTTGAGTTGCATCAATGCACATCCGTTGGTATTCATGCGTGTTATATTGGAGGTGCAGAGGTTGAGGAGGTAGTTGTCCATTAGGGTTGCTAGACCGCGTGTTATGTGCATGTAAGACGCGACCGGGATGTAGGTTGATACTTCGGTATCGAAGGAGACGAGTGTGGCGTTTAGGGCGAGGATGGCGGGGTCGGGGTCGCTGAGTAGAGTGTCGATGTAGACATTGGGTTGTGTGCTCGCGTTTAGTGAGTGTAGGATGGTCGAACGGATTGATAAGTGCAACGTCCGTAAGACGCGAGTGCTGAGAGCATGATAGGTTTGTACTACTGCGTCAAATATACTGTATTTTGGTCAGTAAAGTGGGGTTCTTGCAAACGTCAAGAATACTTACGCAGCTGTGTCTGCAC